GCAGTCTGAGCACATTAAGTTCACCCGGGGAAAACCGAGAAAAAAATGGCTTCCGTTTTTAAACGTTCAAATAAACCTATCAAGTAGCGGTTACTTGACAAAGTGGTACCGAAATCCAAGTAACAAGAACATCTTCGTTCATTTCCTTTCTTCCCACCCTTCACACACAAAGAGAGCTTATGTGAGAAACATGTTTCGAACAGCCACCTCTGTGTGCACAACCAGGGAACTAAGGGAACCCTGAATAGCAGGGATGAATGCCCAGGGGTCAGGGGAATGCCGCGACTTCACTCCGTATGTTCACATCAATTTCTGATGTTGGATGGTGCAGTCATCAACCATATGCGACTATAATCAGCTGTTCTAATCCTCCTCACTGGAAGCCACGTAAAAAGCACGTCGCAATATTGTCGGCTAACTGGTCTCCCCGAAGCAGAAGCGGTGATGATGTCTCAAAACAACAATTTCTTTGACTATCAGTCAATTAGTTCGACTCCCACTTGACGCGATACTTTTCAATTTATTTAAATGTTCCCAAACAGCTGCGATTCAACCACAGAGATGGTGAGATATGAGCAGAGCTCGGGACCTCAGGGCGGGTTCGAATCCATGATTACCTTCGCAGAGGTTCACGTGATATCTATCACACCAACCAAAACCATTGCCTTCCCTTTCTCTTAGTCGAATCTTTAGTCTATCGTTGTCGTCATCAATCACCTGCAAACGCGAGTGATCTAGGGGCACCAATCGGCGTTGAACCCAGTTAGGCTGAAGCTGCAGCCGAAACTACAATGTTTTAACCACAAATGGACTTCAAGTAAGGACCGAGACAATGTTATTTCGTTTGCAGCTTTCCTTTGACAGGATTTACTGCCGATTTTGCTACCTAGGTCATCCCTGTTGACAGATGGTTGTTGATAACGCGGATGCTGCAATAATATGGCTGAGAGAAAGGCAATGGCCTCAGTTGGTGTGGCGGTTGGTATGTGAGACTCCAGAAAGAGTAATCGCAGGTGCGAAGGCCAATTGAGGCTCCAAGCTTTGCTTGTGTCCCAGAATTGCTATGGTTATATTTCACATCGTACCCTGCTATGAAAAAAGAATGGGGAAGAAATATAGCTTAAGACAGTTGAAATTCTCACAACGAGTTCGCCTACAGATTCCCCAGCTACTTTGCATGTCCCAAAATTGACCTTCTGTTTACCTCGGCATTGAACAATCCAAAACGTTTCAAGAGTTTCACGCGCTTATGTTGCGGATTCCTGTACATGGATAGTGGCTTTTGCTTCAAAGCCTTTTCCATTATGTAACATAACTCTAAATTTACAAACCCAATATTTTCTTGATTTTATTTTACTTGCCCTGTTACCACATCTACTGTGCGGGTCCCAGTACTTCTTGCATCTGGCTAGTGTTCCTCGAATTCATCGTCCATGAAGGTCTCTTACCATTTCGTTGCCTATTTTGGCTGCTGGTTGTGGATTTTATCTCTTTTATGAATATTGTAGAATGCTGATTAAGTCGACTCTTCTTGCAGTCTTGGAGATAGCCGAGAGTTCCCCAATGAATTAGCGGAGTGTTGAAAAGGGAGTTGAACGAAGAGAGTTGAACCATTACTTTGCTTTTTTGATGGAATGCACCAATGTTACGTTAAAAAAATATTACCCACGTTCAAACAGAGTTAGACCACACGCAATTTCGAGAGCCATCTGGATGATGGCTCTTAGGTAAAAAGCCAAGTGACGGAAATGATAAAATCACCATAGTATTTGGTGTTTGGTTATGTGAAAAAATCTCCTGTTTTAAAAGTTGCTATAGTTGAACGTCCTGTGTTCTTCACCACCTGCAGTCGCCATCCGTAGCGGATCAGAGCAAGAATTGCAGCTTTGTTACTAAAGCTCATCTCAGAATGCAATGAATCCTCTGAAGAGTTTAGGAACGATTTTGACTATCGGCAGTAGAGGGTGATACAATCCACGCTCCAGTGAGGTTCTCTTTAATTAGTGACGATGGTTAAAAAACCATTTAGCACTTTAATTGAACCACTGTTTTCTTAAGAATCCGTGAATATTCCCGTTTTATCAAAAATTTACTGCAAAATTATCGCGCTTCATTTTATCCCTAAAAATTTTTCAGCAAATTCAACGAATTCTGAAGAAGGAAGGTGTGACTGTTGTTGACGACGATGGCTTGAAACTATTCTCCAGCTGCGTGGAACCGTTGCTCACTTCGTGGCGAAAACGAGACTCTCATTCAGAAAAATACTTGAGGGTTCTCTTTCTAAACACCATAGATTTCTACCTCAATGGACATTCATTCATTTGTCTAATCGTTAAATATATCGCTTAACTTTTAAATAACACTTGCCAAAAATTTTTACTTTATTTTTTGACTTTTTATTTTATTTTTTATCGATCAGTGCCACAAGTAATCACTCATCAGCGGGTTTAATGTAAGGAGCCCAAATCGATAAAACTAGCTGAAAGACAGGCGAAACGAAGCACCCGCATGTACTAATGAACGCGTTAGCCCCCAGAAAGGGTAATAGCGCGTTCGTTCAGCACCGCAAACACCTGTGGTTCGGAGTTTTGTAAATTCTCAGCATCATAGAACTTATTTTGCTTAACATACCTGGCCATTAAAAAGAATAGGCAGTAAATAATAAGTTGAAACTATTATTTTTATCCTGCCTCGCCTTTAATTTGTTTGTTGTCTAGGTTTATTTCAACACACTTGGTATTCTTAAATTTCTAGGGTTTACTTCTCATTTTGGAGTACAGCCTAGCACATTCCATTGACGATCATCAGTGCTTCGAATCACTGGTGACGTTACTTGGATACAACACAGTGCAATTTTGGAGGTACGGTTAATTTGACACTTGTTCCACTGTGGTGAAAAACGGAATTCATACTCATACAGGAAGCCGGATTTTCACACTTTCGTCGGTCTGTTAGTTGACTAATCACAGAAATCACTATCACCGCTGGGGTTGCTATTGTCCTGCAGAAGGTCAAGTCGAATGATAACAAACATTCTCCTATAAATGTGAATATGAACAGGCGTCTACGCATGATGTGGAACGATCCATAAATCCATGTACTACGATGTTAAGCCAACGTAAATGAGGACAGAAAACGATAGGTTATAAATCATTGGTTGAGCTCATAGGCCAATCCGAGTGTTCACCTGGATAGGCGGTGGATGTAGGACAAGGAATCAGCTGTCAGTCCAGTTTTTGAAGGATGTCTAAGGAAGCTGACCACATCAAAACCGTGATATAGGTTACCTGAATACATTGAAAATATATGAGACCTTTTTTCAAATTTATTAGTATAAAGAAGACGCGGGATATTTTTATTGCGTAGTATATACCGCACCTATTAGTACTAACCAAAGGCGCGTGTGGCACAGTGGTTGGAGGCGCCACTGTAACAGACACGTGGAATCGATTCCAGCGCCCATGACCCACCAAGCCTTCCATCTTTCCGAGTTCGGCAAATTGTTACCAGACTTGTCTAGGAGGACAGCAGCACTGGCTCGACACGTCGGTGTGCCACCGCGAGTCGTTGTAAAAGCCAGATATGCATTCAATCACCTCCAACGATACTTAATGAAGCCGAGTGCATGACGCATCCCTCAGGGACTGATCAACGCCGGGAGCTTTATCCTTTCCCCTTTTTTATTAGTACTAACCATTGAATAACTTGAGATGGCGCAATTAAAATGTCTCCGTGACGCATTAGAACTAATATTTGTTTTCTTCTCGACCAGGTTAGCAACGGTAAACCGCAAAGATTCCACAACATCTTTCAGTTTTCTTCGTATTGCTACAACCCAGCAGTTCACCACTGTAGGTACCAGCAATTTCGCGCAGGATGGCGATTCTCCGATGCGGAAAGTGAATGGCTGCTTACAGTGGCAACGTGACAAACTCTTAACACGTCTGCTGTTTTTGTTAACGACGTTAGGTATTTCTAGCAGAAATATCTAAAGAATCCAGGAAAGAGAAGCTTGCACCATCGGAAATATGCCAGCCAAATGAAAAGTTTATTGAGTCGAAATATCGTTAAACAAATGTACCAGAAAGAGATGATATAACACTAAAAACGACTGGCGAGCCCACCAACACCTTCTATTCACCAGAAGAATTTATCTGTCTTCATCAAGCATAACAAATGAGAAGTGAGACTGGTGTAGATGTAATGATTAGTTTCACAAGAAATGTGAGAAATATTATGAACCATGAAAAAGTATACATTTTCGCTGGCCGTCCTCATATACATGTTAACGAAATGGGCGTATTCTGATGGGTCGAATGTATTCATCGTTATCACCAATGTCGTACGTCGTAAAACGAATACGATTGGAATCAGTACTTATCGATAAGTCGAAAATTTCCGGAAGATGAATAAGAACACCTGAAACGTGCTCAATTTCTTGGTTGCATATTCCTTGTGCAGTGATATGTACTTCTGAGTCCTGAGCGACAAGCAAGCATAAGTGAAGCATTGTCATTGTCGTTGCGCAGTACCACATCGAACGCTAGATGTGAAAGAGCTTGAACAACTTCGAGAAAATAATGAAGGATGTCAACTTTTTTTATCTGCGGTGAACATTCCGATTTTATTTACAAGAAACCGCCGAAAAATAACTGAAAGAAACAGTGGATTCCATGAAGAGTATGTGAGGTCACGCAATAACTCTGTTTCTTCATTGAAATGTCAAACGAACACGGTTTTTTACCAATGCCATGATCGGAGCTATTACTCATCTATTATCGAACTGAATCTATCATTTCAATAGAACCAACGGAGGTAGATATTCGGTTTACTTTCGGTCAGCTCGAATGTTCAATAGTCCACGAATGGCAGCGGCTAGAGATAGTCGTCGCTCAGTGCATTTTATGAATCTCCACTCTTTCTCCGAGAATAGCGCCGATTTTTTAAATTTTGTCCTACTATTCTTTTAAATCGTGATTTTCCACTCTATCTTGCGACTAATGGGGTCAAATATCTTCAACTTCAAAAGCTTTAGAATGGCAGTACCGCATATTTTCGACTCGGACCTGACATATGGAACCAAGTACAGAGACTCGTTGCTGTTCGCTCTTACGCTCTACGATGTCAACACCGGCAAAAATCGATTACGGTAAACGAATTGGATAGTTTTTCCTTGGCAAAACTGATCAGAAATAACAACCAATTCATTCTTATTTTGTTCCCTAGAAAAGAAAGTAGGTAAGTGCTAAAGAAAAAATGAAGACGAATGAAAATTTCTAAAATAAATCGCGCTGGGCAACTGAAATCGTAGGAAGGGAGCGGTTGGGTTCCTGATCCGTGTTGTTATTACTGTTAATCTTATTTTTGTCACTTCTACAGCAATGTTATGTTAGGAAAAAAAATAGGTAACTGACCAAAAATCCAACTAGAAGAGTCCTTAAGAAATATTAACAAATCAGGGCAGAGTTTTTCAGTGAATTATATGCAGCGGTTCCTGGTGTTAGAAAGTCGTTGTTGGGTGTGAGCGCCAAGCAGTTCGGCGAGAAATTTCATCATCTTCAGAAGAGGATCGCTCGTCATTCCTCAAGGGGCAGTTTGGAAAGCGTCAGCACCGATAAAGACGACGATGGTGGTGATTTTACTTACTTGCGTTGATAAACAGGTGGTCATTTTCCACATTTCTTTCGGATGACTCTCGCGATTTGTCGATGAAGCTGATCGAGATATCACCATGTATAACTTTTTACTTACTGCCGATTAATTTTCTTTATCCCAGAGTATCATGACAACCGCAAAGGGACCGAGTTTTGTAAACATCTCTGCATCATTGCAGTTGCAACGCAAACTACCATTTACTATTCTAAATAGGGGCGCGTATGGCTCGGTGGTCGGAGGCGCCATGCAACACACACATGGGATCGATCCCCACGTTCGTGGCTCACCATGCTTTCCATCCCTCCGAGGTCGGTAAATTGGTAGCAGACTTGTCTGGGAGGAAGGCAGCACTGGCTCGATAGATCGGTAGGCTACCGCGAGTCATTTTGAAGGCCAGATATGCATTCAATCACCTCCAACAATACTTAATGAAGTCGAATGAATGGCCCATCCCTCAAGAGATTGATCGACGCCAACAGCTTTATCCTTTGTTAAGCTCATTCTTTGTTTTCTAGAAGGTGTTAAACGTAAATAAAAGTCAAAAAAAACTTTGCAGAACAGAGCAGAAACAAAGCTAAAAATTCATGTGTCACTAACTTAGGAGGAAATATGCGATTTCAAAAGTGCGGTGCTTTGTGAACATTTAGGTAAATCGCCAAGAAGATCTCGCGAGCCTTCGATGCACGCGGATGACGATGAAGACGAGCCACGTATTTCTACAGGAGGAATCGCGAACACCCATTTTCAGGTCATCTACCTTAGCGATTTTTTTTGGCGTGTAATTAAATCAGTCAACGATGATGTAAACTTTATTGTTTATTTTAATAACTGTGTAAAAGACAACAGCAGTGGTAACTTGAGTGTTTAGCAACGTGTTATCAATGTGTCCAATGCGCCACCGGTTTCACTGAAAAGAGAGAAAAGTGGTGACTGGGAGATCAAACAAGGGTTATTCTTTCTAGACTTATACCTTTTTGAGAAGTTCATTTGTTGTGAAATAGAAAAAACAGCTTATAGGTCTGGCGGACTCGTATCATGTGTCGATCCAGTGATGACGAAAGACCACGAGAACATTTGGTTAGCAAATCTTGGTATGAATCTGAAAGAGAAAAAAAGGTCCGTGTAAACTTCATCTCGTACTTTTACCTACTTCTCTGGTCTGAAGAAAATCTCATGTGGAGAATTAACTCACGATCGATATCTATGAACAGCACATTAGCTGATTGTTATTCGGCTCACTTCAGATGTGTTGAAGTTTTAGCACTGATTAGACTTAGTGTAAATGGGACTGAAAGTAAGAAAGATGTGTGAATAACATCTAACGGTAAAGAACATAAAAGAAAGAAGAAACAAATGATAAACGATTCTACTTATTTACTTATCTGTTTATTTGCTATTGATTCGACCCGATTTCATGTATTGTGTGGATCCCAGCACTTCTCTTAATCGGCTCGTTAAGCTGAGGCCTTCTGGGGGAAATCCTGCGATGGCGCTGCTAAAACCCAGATTATCACTATAAGGAACCACGAGCATTTTTAGATGACAGAAATCTTTTTCTGCAAAACTTTTTTGCCAATTTGCGGATCCCGGCAAGGTGGGAGATTTGCTTGGTGTCGAGTAGCGACCAAGTGTATTATTGCCCTGTAGCTGTAACCATTACCCCCTTTCCTTGCTTATATTGTTGTGAGTGACTAGTAGTAAATGAAATGAACAACAATTAGCCAAATGGAAAACTAACGAGCAACTGAGAAAAGCAGAAGAGTGGAAGAGAAAAACATAAATGAGGAAAGAAGGAAACCTAAATGAATCCTAATTGCAGGGCGTCATTTTCATCAGAAGAATCTGAACTCTCCAAGTTGGCCCCGTCAACAAATACACTCGGACTACCGCTGATCAAACAAGCGATTGCTGATGTGAATGACTTTCCCATCGGTTTAAATACTTCCGTTTTCTATGATACTTGTAAATTTCATCGAGTAACTCGGATTGCGAAGAATCCTGTTCTTGTGGATGGTGAATGCGTGAAAACGTTGCCCAAACAATATTTACTATCTTAACCCTTTTATTTGTTGCCTTTTTCTTCTTATTGGCAGGGTATGTTGCGAAATATAACTCGTATGAAATGCTGAGATATTTGCAAAACTCCGGACCGCAGGTGTATGCAGTGGGGAACGAACACGCGCTGTTGTCCTTACCGGGGAGCAGCGCATTTTTAAGACTCGGATGGTGTAGTGGTGAAGTGCGTTGCTCACCGGTAAGGACAACAGCGCGTGTTCGTTCCCCACTGCATACACCTGCGGTCCGGAGTTTTGCAAGTATCTCAGCATTTCATACGAGTAATATTTACTATTTCTACTGATATTTTATGATTTTGCCAATATTTTTAACCTACGATTATCTTATGAGTTTATGTGGATATTTTAGGGAAAGTTGTTTAATTTAGGTGTTTTTCCACGTACTAGCCGATGACGATCAACCAGAAAAAGAATCGAACGCCGACCAAAAGAAAGCGAGGTCAGTATAGCGAAGAAATTTTGCGAGTATTCACAATTTCTAATTTGAATATCTGTGAATTTCGTGCATTAGAAACCTGTTACTCATGGAGACCTCGAAATCATGGTCCTTTCTGAACAGATGGTTTTCTGCTTTCTTAATCCTCTTTTCGTACAGGGCTTTCTTCTCCGTTTATGTTTTTCATCTTAGGTCTTATTTTCCTTATGCGTTTCTACCTTCAATAGGAAACTCTATAAAGGTTGAGAGCACAAGCAGGTTGCTCATTCTTCATGCACGTGGTAAATTTTTAAGGCTTATTTTTGAAAGCTAGGGACGCATGTGGCGCAATGGTTGGAGGCGCCCTGCAACACACACGTGGTATCGATCCCTCCGCTCATGGCCCACCATGCCTTCCATCTCTCCGGGGTCCGCGAATTGGTAGCAGACTTGTCTGGGAGGATAGCAGCACTGCGTCGATACATCGCTAGGCTACCACGAGTCATTGTAAATGCCAGATATGCATTCAATCATCTCGAACGATACTTAATGAAGTCGAATGCATGGCGCATTCCTCAGGTATTGATCAACGCCGAGAGCTTTGTTCTTATTTTATCCTTTATTTTTGGAAGCCAGTAAAAGTTTTCTGGTCATTGATTGAAACAGTGCCTTTTTCTGACTTAAAATTTCGTTTTGGCGGAAGGAAAAGCACTTTTTATGAAGACTTTTAAGGAGTCTCATTCCACTTCACGAAAGTGTCTCATCATTCATTAGAGAAGCAGTATTTTGGTTTCAGAAATTAGATATTCCTCTTTGACGTAGTGCAAACCCATCCACAACGACGTGGCGCTGCTAATCACTTGGCTTTTCATATTTAACGCACGTTTAAAATACGACGGCTGTAACGATGTGATAAAAATCCTGCAATGTACGCTTGGCCATTGGCTCCAATCTCAATTTTTGATTCGGGCGAACTAAGTACGCTGTCCCCCCGGGGTGGGCAAATCACTGTTGAATTCTTTTCGAAGGATAAATTTGCTGATTTTATACATCAGCAGATCTCAATTAGTTAATAAAGACCAAATATGCGTTCAAACGCCCTCTACGATCCTTGATAGGGTCTGTTCATAGTGCATCCCTATGGGTTGTCATGCCATAGCTTTATCTTATTTTGCCCTTATCTTAATAGTTTTTTATTGGCTTTCAGAGAAGAGATGTCACTTTTGGGTGTATTGAACAACTATAATCGAGGTAACTATAAGCTGAATCCAGTGGTTGTCCAAGAACAGGACTATAACGTTTACTATGGCGGAATCAGTAACGGTCTTCTATGGCCTGCATTGCACAATCTACCTGAATACGTTATGTCTGATTACGACACACCGAAGGTATTTCATGAAACAATATTGGCTATTCTGAGGTCCGCAGTGGTTTTTTCTTGTGTGCTGTAGTTTTTCTTGCGCTTACACAAGTTAAATATCTTTGTGGTAACCTAGATTTTACAGATTTTACGAGACCATTGGTGTTCCTATGTGAGGGTGAATTACCAGTTTGCTATTGATGCCGTGAGAAACAGCCGACCGCAGGTCTCATTTTCTTCATCGTGATCTGTTCACTTCCCTTAATCCATTCATCCCTCTTACATTCAGTTAGTACAGGAATGGAGAGCCATATGATGAATAAACAACTTCTTGAAAAAAAGTGACTTTTAGGACTTCATCTGGATTCACGATTATCATCTTATGCTGACCGGAATGGTTATGCAGTCCTTGGATCCAAATTTAGAGGTTTGTTTCTAATAAATGAATTGAATCTTCTAAACTAAATTACTTGGATGCTTGGATGGCTCGTACTTATTGGTAGTGCGGAATCCAGAACAACTTCGACTGTTTTTGTTCTCTCAGTCGTCGTTCATGCTGGTGAACTCTCTCGAATATCATGACGTCTACTAAGCCAATTCTGCAATTCTAAAAGCGTTCCCACCTACGAATGCAGATGGTTAGCGTTAACCACGAATACCTTGGGCCATTGTTTGGATGGTCGTGTAAGACCAGGCTTGCATTTTCTTGCAATCAATTCTACTCTTTTTGCCCATCTGTCATCTGTTCTTCTTGCAAAGTGTGCTCCACTATCAATGTATTTTCTTAGATCCCGAAGATGAGATAGGTTTCAACGATCCAAGGTGTCCAATACGGCAAGACGTTAATTGTGTCGACTAACCTTCAAAGCACATCTTTCGAAAGCTCTGTTGGTTGGGCATAGCATTCTTGACGTGGTTGAAGTATCACGCCACATCTCTGATGCATAACAGAATGCTGGGAAGCCTGTTGTATCAAAAAGGTAAGCGCGGAACTTTGGCTCCGCTAGTTGGTCGGCGGCTTCTTTGTTTTCCTTCTTCTTTCTTATTCCACCTTCATGTTGTTCTTTATGATTACTGAACGCCCAACGTGTACATATGAGGTGGTTTCCGTTATCGGAGAACTATCCAGTTCGATTTGTTCGTCTTCACACTGCGGGTACTTCACGGACTGCGTTTTCGTCCTATTCATTGGACAGGCGAATCCTTTTTCCCGCATCGTTTCGTTCATCGAGCATTCCTCCTCTCCGCTTCACTGGCACTCCTCGAAGAGCTGACGTCGTTCTCCGCGAAACGAGGATTTGACAGAAATTTTTCATCAATTTGTATGCCGCGTGTGGCGCAGTGGTTGGCGCACCACTGCGACACACACGTGGATTCGATTCCCGGGCCCGTGGCCCACCAAGCCTTCCTTCTCTCCGGGGTCGGCAAATTGGTACGAGACTCGCCTAGGAGGACAGCAGCACAGGCTCGACACATCGGTGTGCCACTGCGAGTCATTGTAAAGGCCAGATATGCATTCAATCACCTCCAACGATACTTAATGAAATCGAGTGCATGGCGCATTTTTGAGAGATTGATCAACACCGGGGGCTTTATCCTTTATCCCTTATCTATGCCCTTCTGAACAGGAATCAAGTACCACTGAGGTGTCAAAAAGGCACCGTTTCCTTTTTGTAACACTATGACCACTTCCCATATTAGTCGTGCTCCTAGGAGAATCCCATGTGCATTTGCGATTTTCTCTCTTCGCCTAAAAATGAACTTTTACTGAACAGACGTGTGCGGGCACAAGTACTACAAGGCAGTTTCCATTCCTATTCCGTTCTCCTATTCCTGTTTCTCCTGTGTTCATTTTCGTTGGCCATTCCTAGTCTAGCATTAAATTGTCCAAAAACGAATTTATAGAAGGACTTTTTGTTACGAATTTCTTTCCATAACTGCTTATAGATTGCTTTCAGTTCGCTCTTATATCGTGTGCAAATAGGCGAGCAGTACAGTACCATTTGATGAAACTTACTATCATTCGACGAGCGAGTTGGAGACGAAGAATAGCTAAGCGCGATGATGAGATTTTGTATTAGGTGATTAGATGGGAAGTAGATGAGCATAGTAGAAAGCCAAGGCCTCCGACCTGACGGAAATTTTTCCGCACGAGTAGCGAGGGTCTCGTCATCTAGTTGGCGTATATCGGTCTCATGCTCTTTATTTCTTGTAGGGCGATAGCATGGAATTCGACGCGACCAGCTACCTCATGTAGAGCGTATAGGTCAACGCCTGAGGAGACTATTTCGAGATTATAAGTAAAGGACAAGAAACAGTTTCAATGGAATGTCGTAGCTTTTCTCGTTTTGTCCGTTTCCAAAGAAATAATATGCAACCGGAGATTTGATCGGCTGTCATCAATTGTCCCACCGGGAGCGCCTAGTGCACGGTATTTAAGTCGGAGATTTTTTGGTTCAGCCAATGTGGTTCCCTGGAGTAAGTCATTATAGTCGATGCCTTCTTCAGGTTGTCACCACGCCTGGCAATTAACAGACGTTGTAGATCAGAAGGAGATTTGCCACCTTTCTGTGCCACGGTGACAGTAAATCCTAGTGTTGGTTTAAGCTTAAGTGTTCTTCCAGATAGAAAATTAGGGGCTCTTTCTCAATCTGGTAGACCTTGCTGTGGAGATAAACACCCCGCCGCATATCCCATTCCGACTCCCAGGAGCAGAAATGCTTTTAGTACCATTTCGACTATTGCCCACTATTTTCCAAATTTTTATTTCTACCGCTTTTTATCATCTTAATATTTTCTTTCATTTATTATAAATTCGTCCATCCCCTAAAGTTTATCGATTTATTGTTTTTTATTAATTTTATTCACCATTTTAGTGCTTTATTTTAACTTTTCTTTTTGACACTAAATTTTAGTGAAATTAAAGAACAACGAGAGGTAAATGATCGCAAGAAAACTATTTTTGAACAGATCTTTTCGAGATTACCCCACAGGGTTTCATTGTACGGCAGAATCACACAAGTAGTAAACTGGCAATTCAAACTGAGTGAATCATATCTGCTTAAGGTCGGCTTCTTTCTTCATATTCCATTTCAACCGTCGGACGATTTCTTCACGAAATATGGAACATGTGGTCTGGCAGTGCTGAGAGGGCTGCTGCGATTCACTAAGGTTTGTTTAAATTGCCATCGTTATTCTTTTCTTTTCATTCTAACAACATATTAACGACAAAACAAAGACCTCGCCTTTACCATTCCTTGCGAAAACCTGTTAGTAAATGGATGGATTAGAATGACTAGAATATCTCTCGGTGGTCTTATTCGTTTTTTTTTCTTTAGACTGCGTTTACCTGCACTTTTTTATCCTCCTTGCTAAATATTGAATACCTGAACTTTATTGCTATTAAATTCATAAAATATTAGGGTTATACCTGTCTTAACAAATAGTGCTAAATTCTGTAGATCAACTAAAAATACATTTAGGCACTTTCGAATGTTTAAATAAAAGAATTTTAGAGAAGCAACTATTTTACACGAGGCAGGTTTCTTCAGGTTGGATTTCAAACACATCGTGATCGATCCAGATATATTGAGTTGGTTCAACAACATTTACGAAATGCCACTGTTTATCACGATCAACACCTGGATATCTTTACTGGTAAGTTGAAGTAATAAATAGCTTTGAATATGCGCCAGTAATAAATACATATTACTTTGACCAATGGACATATGAAACACAGGGCTTAAAAGTGTTCTGGATCAATCATACTCTCCAACAAACCAACATACCTATCTGTGCGGGATAGGCAATGCGCTATCAAACTTGTTCGAGAAGATAAAAGCATGGAATTTGTATGTTCTGTTGTTTAGGCCAAATATGCATCCTTGCATCCATACCATGCCAGCATGGGGCGTATAGCACAGGGGTAATGATGTCCGTCATCACGAGCATGGTACTAGTTCTGTTCCGCTCCGGGACAAGTAAGCTTCTTATCTCTCTGGGGTTAGGAAGTTGGTAGAGGACTTGTCTGGGGAAAAATCACTCTCTACATTCCAATTGGAAACACTTCATCCCAGCTATCTCAGGACTCCAGGGAAAGTTGCTCGACTAGCATTCTGCGACATTCAAGATGAAATGAAACTCCTCAAGCAGCAACCGTGGCCACGCGTAAAAACTTGGAAGACTTTCGTAGACGACGTATACGTGGAAACAAAATGGATGTGGAAAGTGCCAGGATCCGCGCAGTAGACGTGAAGATCAGTCAAATAAAATGAAAAGAAAACACCATGCTAGCAATGAAGTCGAATCTACGGCACATCATTAAGGTAGTGATCAACGCTGATCGATTTATCCTCCATTTACAGTTTAATCTCACATCTATGCGAAACTATTCGCCATTGCAACAGTAGTCAACATTCACATCCACATGTAACCGTTCTAACATGCTCATAGTGGAGATTTAAATTTTTTTGGCTCTTTTAGCGCAATAGTTGCCGCCCCTTTCTGGATTAGGAATAATTTTATTGCCTTGCAGCCAGGATTATTTTAGGATTATTAACGTGGATGTTATCTATGATCAATTGAGAAATCGTAACGTACAGGATCTGGGAATGCTTTTTGAACAAACATGAATGAACTGAGTTCGCATTTATTGTGATATGTGTCCCGCTAGACAATTTCATTCGAGGGTGATCTGTTTTTTTGCTTTACCTGCCCTCCTGGGAGACGTTGGGAACTTCTCATGCACTGCACTTACAGTTTCAGGGTATTCTCTACATTTTCTACCTGTATCAACACCTTTCAGTAAGCACAATATTTCATGAGGTATCGAGCCACCAAAACACATTCAGTGTATACAAAGAAGTAGTGGGCTATTAAGAGTTGGATTATACTCAGTTATAGCTATTTTCGCTAAGCTTTTTGATCGCAGGGATGTTTTCCTTGATTAGTGGTACTAAAAAACGTCAGTGCTATCATTTCTGGAGATCTTCACCCAAATTTTCTTCCTTGTATCGGGTAGTGAAGAAGGCATCTATGCAAATAGTTGCAAGAGGTAGAGGGTAAAGTTTTCGGTGTTGACATATTCTTAAGTGACTTAGCTTGAATTCAACTCCGCTCGTAGAATTGTAGAGGTGATTGAACGTTAGGTTAGCCTGGTAGGTTTAGTAGTCAGGTTGTGGACTGCCTGTAACCTATTCATCATTTTATTCTTCCGAGACAAATGTTAAAGTATTTCTCAGAAACCAAATGGATTGGTGGTTTTGTTTTAAGCTTTACGAAGGATCGCACCGATGGCCTCATGTATACAACAGGGCACCTCAGATTACTTCGCTGCAAGTGCATCCTTCGGTTATGAATGAAAGATTGAACTAATTTCTATCTTCCTTGCACTGAAACTCTAAAGAAGGAAAATACGTCGAAACATTAATAACTTTGTGTTTCATCTCCATTTGCCTGTTACTTTTTTTCCTCATTTTAAGTCGCTCACGAAGGATGGACGTGCTCATTGGGGGTCTTCCCAGTCAGCATAAAAAACGACGATTTCCTCAAATTTGTTCATATGCCCGAAACGCTCGTAAGGAAGGAAGGCATCAGGAAAAAGGTTTGCCTTTTTAACCAGAAATCGCAGTGTCTAAGAAATTTTTTAACTTTAATTATTTTTCTATTAGCCTTAGTTTTCTTCATACCTTGAGGATTTATTTTCTTACTGTTTTTGAACAACTTCAATTTTTTTAGCTTCTATTCAAGCGACCCAGCTTTAGAACTACCTGTGCCTCGTTGCTAGTTTTTTTTCCAAAGTTTTTCTTCTTCACACATGACAAGTTCAAATATTTTTTAGATTCTTGGCGAGAATCCACCAGAGAATGCGCGGTTATTCTTCAGTGTTGAGCGATTTGACTACACAAAAGGAATCAAAGAAAAACTGCTGGCCTATCGGCGATATTTCGAAAAGTATCCAGATCGTTTAGGAAAAGATGTACTCTACCAGGTAATGATCCTAACCTGAAAAATAATCACAAAAATCTAACAGTCGGACCAAAATCACTTTTTGCTTTGGGTGATATAAAACTTCTCAGTTGAGTCTTGATGTTAACTTTTCCTGCTTACTACCTGTTATTATTTTTTGCAGCAGGATATGATGTGAATACAACTACTACGATGCTAAGATATTTGCAAAAGTTGGACCCCAGGTCAAATCGAACCTCCGCCTTGCCTTTGCGTGGGCTCATCTGTTACCCAGTGCACAACTGAAGCCGTTGCTTCGCTTTTTTCTTCGGCCATATTTTAACTCACTCGGTGCTATCAGTATTCACTTTTCAACGGGCATGACCTGGTAATCACAAATTGGTATTGAAAGAAGAATAAAAACCAAATAAAGGTTAAAACATTAACTCTTAATAATTTTGTTTCTCGTGCCAGGGGACATTTGTGTAATTTCGGCTGGTTACAAAGGCAAAACGTTGCTTGCCTTGTTTTTTAAGAAAGGAAAAAAGGATAAAGTGAATCAAACCCTTAGTCGTGAGTTATGCATTGCACAGCATTCATGGCATCGTGCAGATGACGGAATGTGTCTTGGACTATACGACGATTTCTAAGGGCTTGCTAATGTGCCGAGTCAGTGTCGTTTATTCCGCCAAACTATTCTGTAACCAATTTTCCGACCTTGGAATGTCCAAGGTAGAACCAACGACTCTCTGTGTACTACAAGCATCACTAGCGCATTAATAATTAAATACACGCAATAAAATTATGTGTGTAAAAAAGGACCTCGTAGTTCATAAAGCCCATATAAAATGTCCTCGGCTCTAATTCTTGGTGCTTCACCCTTCATCGAATATAATGTCCTCATTGTGATTGCATAGGGGAGTTGTCACGCATTTTTTCACTTGCTTCATTTCTCCACGATTACCGAGACCTACTGTGTCTATTATATGAGAATACAAAAAAGTAGAGTGATATTATGGTTTTGAAGTCAAGTAATGAGCGCTAAAAAATGATTTAAAGAATAGATTCAATTTTTATAAAATTTACAAACGGTAGGATTCGACATCCAAAAGGACAGTAAAGAAATACTTGATACTTGAACGGCCTGTTTTCGCTGGTTCTGCGGGCCCCAGCATAATCACCATTTTTCGGAGATTTGCTGGTTAAGCCATTGTGGTTCCCTGGAACCCCGAGGGCAGCTGGCCAAAGTCTGCCTCAGGTCTTCACCACGACAGGTAGTAGCAGTTCTTGTGGATCAGAGGGAGGTACCAGGACGGTGGTGGATCCTGGTATTGGTTTACTCTTAGTTAGGCTTTCTGATGGAAACGCCGAACTCCTCAGCTTAGGAGACCCTGCCAGAGGATGAATCCGAGCTGTACATCGCAGCCCGACACCCAGGAACACCTTCCAGCCACCATGAGGCGGTAAACCGCTGGGAGGGTAAAGAAATGCCCTACAAAAAACATTAAAAATGAAGTATTGCAGTCACTTTCTCTCAATATTATAAAAGTATATCTGTTAATTTTCTACTTTTGGAAAAAGAAAAGAATTTAAGTAGAAACGAAATGATTGTCGTCGTTAAGGTGGCCGTAACGAATCGTCGCTCGGTTGATACCTATCGTGTCTATCAGGACGAATGCCTGGAAATCGCCAAGAAAATCGCTGGCGAATTCCATGATCCGGCAAGACCAGAATGGAAGCCGTTAGTTTTCCAAACAGATGGTCAGCATTGTTGCTTCGTTAGTATTTATACAGCATTCTCTAATTTCATTCGACTCGTTTTTTCGCGTTTGTCATCCACCAAGGTCTTTCCATTTACATGTGTAACTGCTGCTTAAGGACTTTTTATCGTCTTTATGGATGTTGTTGAATACTGATAGAGCGGATTATTCATGGAATACTAGGATACACGTGTCGAAGCGTTGCCTTTTCTTTACAGCATGCTATCGCAGATGTGGGCAGATCTGTGGAACCTTTTTCCAATCATATTTGATATCAATTTTGTGACACCAGTAGAATGACCTGCTTGTTTAGCGCTAATTAAGGTCGAGCTACAAATCAAGGGTCTGTTGAACAGCATCGCTAACCATTGAACTTACCACATTTCAAGCGCTTCCCGACTTTCAGCTATTACTAAAGCAGAACTTGAACTTATAACGTCAAATTTTATGTACTACCTAATCTTTTTTTGATGTAAGGTACAACGTGATACATAGCAGTGATACCAACATATGAGCAAAACTTGCTACTTCCGGTAGGCTTCCAACCCGCGATTTCCCTTACCGCCAACTCAGGTGCTTTCCATTACAGCAGCCGAGGCCCTTCGTTTACCTTCCTCTCAGCCACTTTTTAACTATATAAGTACCATTTTTATTTAATACCAAACAAAGGACCCGCATGGTGTGGTGGTGAACGCGTTACTCCCCGGAAAGGACAATAGCGCGTTCGTTCCCCACCATAGACACCTGCGGTCCAGAGTTTTGCAAATATCTCAGCAACGTTGTGGTTATATAAGTACCATTAACAATCACTCATTGATAGAACTGATCCGAGAAACCAAATCGGCATTGAACCCAGTTAAACTGAAGCTGCAGTCGAAATCGCAATGTTTTAATTTAAATTACTCTCTGAAAAAGGGTAATAGTGGGTTCGAAGCCAAATTGGAGCTCCCAAAGATTTTTCACAGGTTTCCGAAATTTTTCAGGTCTTCCACGGGCGGAATTAGTGGCGGCATACATGGCGATGGATATCGGAGTTGTCACACCAAAAAAGGACGGTATGAATCTGGTAAGTTCCGGTTTCAGGCTGAAAGTTGAGGGTATTATGAACAACAAGTTTGTTAAAAAAAATGTAAAATCGTTCAAAAATATTTGGGGACTTCGGTAAAAAGCACTTCGTTTCTTGCACTGCTTTATTTTAAACAACCTATAAAAAAGCGAGAAGTGGCGAGAAATTGTTGGATAAAGATGAATTTGAATTACTTAAGCTGAAGTTTTCGTATTTTCATAATAACGAAGGGAAACCGTTGTGTATTTCAATATTCTCATCCATTAATTTCTCGTCAAAGCCTTCAAAGATCGATTAGTTTTTGGAATTACTTTTTATTGCTGGAATGAATATTAGAGAAAAGACCAAAAGAAGAATTCCTAGTGAAAACCAAATTGTGGGGAATTTTACAGTTAATGAATTAACCTTAAAATATTTTTTTGGAGCCCTGAAATGTCTTTTTTTCTTTGCTATCTGTCAAAAATTTATGTTTTTTCTTTCCTTTCCCTCATTTCTACAATTTTCGGTTGCGAAAGAGATGTTGGTGTGTAATCCCCATGCCGGTCTCATTCTATCAACTGGCGCTGGTGCAGAAATTCAATTCAGCACCTCTGGACTCTACAAGGAAGACGGAGAGAAGAATTATCATCGTATTTCCGATTTATTTGATATCGAGGTGATTTTAAATCATAATTCGATTGGTGTACTTTAAAAAGAAGAGCAATTTTTCTCTTCAGGATGGTGTTTATGATGATAATTCTGCGTTTTTTTTATGAGGGCACGTGCGGCGCACTGGTCGGAGGATCCCTGCGCTACACACGTGGAATTGATCCCGGTGCCCATGGCCCACCAAGCCTACCATCCCTCCGGGGTCGGCAAATTAGTAGCAGACTTGTCTAGGAGGACAGCAGCACTGGCTCGACACATCGGTGTGCCACCACGAGCCGTTGTAAAAGCCAGATATGCATTCAATCACCTCGAACGATACCTAATGAAGTCGAATGCATAGCGCATGCCTCAGGGATTGATTAACGCCAAGAGCTTTATCCTTTTATCCCTTACTATTTAGTAACAATTCATTGTCGCACTTCTATTTTGAAGCCAACTGAGCTACTACACTATCTCGTGTCGTGGGACCTCAATCCTGTGCGCTGTTTGTCCGTTGTGCTGGTGTTTTAACAAATTCACTCTCGTTTCCGTCTCCGTTGCATGAAGCTATGAAATTTTTCCCTAATGACCAATCGCTGGAGAATAATCGCTTATAAATGGTTTCTGTTACGAACGAAGCGTTTCACAACTGTGAAAAATGACCCAGTTTTCATTTAGCTACACTGTAGCACAGGGTGCAAACGACACAGTGGTAACGGCGGAGATCATCACGAGCACGACGCTAGCTCAACCTCGTCGTGGGATCACCAAACCACTTATTTTTCTAGTGTCGACTAATCGGTACCAGAGTTGTCTGGGAAATGCTCATTCGTTGCAATGCATGTGGGAACACTCTAGATCGCTGCCTCAGGACTCCAGAGGGAGTCGGCTTGACCAGCATTTAACATCATTCATGACGAAAGGAAAATCCTCAAGCAACAACCCAACAATAAAGACGAAGAGTTCAGAGACCTTCGTGGATGATGAATGCTGGGCAACCAATCGAATGGAAATAATACTAGTAATTTAAATGCAGTAAATTTAAAGATGGGTCGTGTGAAACAAATACATTTTATTTTATCTCAAGAAAATAAAATACAGAAAAGCGAAAATTTTAGTGGTAGTTAGATTTGTTGGAACTGATTTTTGCCTGTAGTATTACTAGTCTACCTGCTGTCTATCGGCGAGACGTCAGCAAAGCTTCCATTCATTTCTGTCATGTACGATTCAAAACACCCGAAAAACAGCGTCTTTCCAGTGTTTATGATGAAATCTCAGGAAGGCGCCGATTTCGTCGTTTTTTAATATCCCATTGAGTACAATCTATGCTGGCTTTTGTTTAACGTTAATCGTCGAAGCGCCAAACGTAATCTGACTTGAGTATAATTCTTGCGAACGACGGACAAGAAGAAGGTGTTAGGTAATAGTTGCTGACGTCCTGTAGGCTCAATTCCTGTGCAACAAAACCTTCCATCTGTTCCTAAATTAAAAAGACAATTTGCATTCTAAAGGGTTGGTCATGCGATCCAGAGTCAATGTGTTGATTGTGACTTCATTAGGTTTTGTACTTGTTCTGGTCTTACCCTGATTGCATTGTGCAATATGCGACCTTTCACCGACAGAACACAAACTTTGGTGGGTGGGATAGCTACAATGACGTATCTATCCTTCCTGTGACAACGTGATATTCTAATAAGTGGGAGAAGTTGTCGTAAATAACCTTCTCTGCTGCCTTCTGAGTGAAGTGATTGCTCGACTGTGGCATTCAATAACGACCATTGTGAACACTATGAGTCTTCCACTAAATATGTCACCGGGAGACCAACCGGACAGAGTTCACATAGAAACATAATGCGTTTTGCTCATCAAAATAACAGGCTTATATACAGCCCAATATCACCCGTGACAATGAGGCATTCCACCCTGCGGCTCATTTTTGGATTCTCGGAATTAATCCACAATGCATCTAGAGTTTTGCGCGTTTGTGTTCTTCATTCCTGGGCGAGGATCGTAACCCTTACTTCAAAATCTTCTCCACTAGGTCTCTGCGTCCTATGCGTGCCTAGTGGAGTGTTTGGTTTACGTTTGCCGACTAGCTGTTCCCTTATGCGGACGGAGAGCGGTCTACGGGCAGAGTTATGCCTCCTAACACGGTGACCCTTGGCTTTTCAGGCACGTTATCGACCACATTTTTAGTGCTAGCGCTTTCGTAAACGACTTTGCTTTGTTTAATTGAAGCTGGTTTTTGCGAATAATTTAGTAAATTTTGAAACTTTCTGCTTAAGGTTACTTCAGCCTTCGACCTAATAGAATCACAAATCAAAATTGACTCACCCACTATTCTCCTCCAAAGAGAATCCTCTCAATACTGAGCACAGTAAGATTCCCTCGACTTGCACTTCTTCAATTGCGAGTAGATGGTGTACTGTTTGCATCGAAAAGAGGCGCGTAGTAGTCGCGTTTCGATGCCCAGCAGTAGTTGGCTGTCCCTCGGTAGGCCGCATACATCGTGTAGTCGTTTTCGTTTGATGAGGTTCGGCGCGACTCGGTGTTTCAGGTAGCGGCGGAGAAAGAGTGTCGTTTGTCTAGCTAAGACAGTTTTTTGTCTTAGTGACAGTACTTCTTTTACAGGTCCGAAATATTCTGCTCGCACTTCACGTAGCTATTGTATCCTAGTAAATGCTATAATAACAACCTCGTCTTACTGAAGAAAAACGTCGAGCTATTCTTTCTGTTCTCGTATTCTTTCCTTTTTTTTCTGAAAAAGGAAAGTAAGCTTTATTTAGGAAGGCGTCAGCTTTATAATTATTTTCTCATTTTTTAGATCCTGGTCTTCTCCAGAAATCTTATGTTTGAGATTTTTCCCTAATTCTAAGTGAATAAGGAGTAAAATTCTTCATGATCACGACCTGCAAACACTTTCCGATTCGACTGTATAGTTTCCTTCTAACAAGTGGAATTTAGTATCGCATTCGCGTTTTCTTTGACATTACATGTGCCAGTTGTTCTTTCCTTGCTTCTGGTTTCATGAGTTCTAGACATATTTTTCAGCAGATCCGATAGGAGCGTTTCCGATACAAAAAGAGATTTAGCACCATATATCGAAACAGCTAGGGACAATTTGAACATCTTTCTTTTTTCTTTGTTGGTTGTCTTTGTTAAGAGCACTCAGCTCTTCCTAGTGTTCAGCCCGTTGTTCTCGACGTTCGATATCTCATTGATTCTTCTGACCAGGTCAGTTTTCCAAATACGGGTCGTTTCGAATGTCAGGTATTCTAGTGGTTCGTAATGGCAATACATGTTTCGATGAAGTAAACGGTTTGGACTGATTTTATGTCCCGATACTTCCATAAAACGTCTTTCTTGTTCTTCTGATGAAATAGAGGAATTCCGATGTGGGCTAATATCTTAGCACATGGTGCAGCTTTCTGGCTAGAGTTGTGGAATTCTTTTTGAGTAGTGAATGTGAGCAAAATACAATCGAAGTAACAACTAGCTTAACAAGCGAAAGCTACCTAGAGTTCCGCATTAGCTCCTGTATTACCTACATCGGAATGGAGTGACTTCAAAAAACAGTTTAATGTGGCAGTGAATAGCTTTAGCATAAAATGGCTTTGCCTAAACGAATCCTTTAATAACGTAAGTGATATATGTAGAAGACAGTTTACGTGTTCAGATGGATATGTTCTAGGTGAAGTAGCTCACACCATAAAACCTAAAAGAACTTCGCGGATGGTCAATGTGACGAGACGAATCGAATGCATTATTTGCTGGGATCCGAACAGTAGATGTAAACGAGAGGTCGTATAAATGAACAACAAATGAAAGTCACCACAAACAAATTGATGGACTCCGCGCTAACATTCACTACTCAAAAAGAATTCCACAACTCTAGCCAGTAAGCTGCACCATGTGCTAAGATATTATTCCACATCGGAACGGTTTCTTAACGTTCAAATCAACCTATCCGAAAACGGCTACATCACAAAAAGGTATCGAAAGCCAAGAAGTAAGAATATATTGGTTCATTACCTCTCATCTCATCCCTCACACACTAGAAGGGCGCTTATAAGAAATACGTTTCGAACCGCCGCCAGCGTGTGGACAGGTAGAGGGAGAGTAGCAGAGGGAAGAATCCTCGAAACTGGCGCGCCAAATAGCCAATAAGTGCAGCTATAAAACGTTGCTTAATAAGGGCAGCTTTTGTTTTTAATAAGAGAATTTCGTAAGAGTAATAGAAATACCGTTGGACACTCTATGACACCAGCTAGTTCGCAGCGTCCTATTTAACCGTCTGTGTATAACGAAAAACTGCATAATTTGCCCTAACGGTAGAGACGGTGATTGCATGAATTCGGGTACAGTCCATCTGGTCTGTTGTAAAGCGTGCGGGGACGAATACGTTGGCGAAACGGGTTGACCGCTCTCCGTCCGCATAAGGGAACACCTAGTCGGCAAACGTAAACCAATACACTCCACTAGGCACGCATAGGACGCAGAGCCCTAACGAAGAAGATTTTGAAGTAGGAGTCACTATCTTCAGGCACGAATCAAAAACATCAGCACGTAAAACTCCTGAAGCGTTTTGGATCAATTCCAAAAATTCAAAAATAAACCGCAAGGAGGAGTGTCTTGTCATCACGCGTGACCTGGCACCATACCTCAGGCTGATTCACTGACCTGACATAGGCGCAGTCCTCGCCCATAATATTACTTTCTGCGGGCTGTTATCCACCAACTTGCTCAAATACCTACAACAAATAAACGGTAGGTGTTTAAATAAAGCTGTTTCTTATGCGAATACAAATTCATTTTTTAGGTTTTATCTGCTGGGGTCACGAAAGTGTTTGGCTGAATAGATCGCATCTCTATTTGACCTCTCCAGGCTCTGGAGAAGGTGAAACCACGGAAACCTCAGCTGTTGTATCCTAATGTATTCTATAATAACAACCTCGTGTCTACTTATTGAAAAAAAACATCGAATTATCAATCAGTGCCGAGGCTAACAGATAGTAGGGCTTGGGAACCTTTTAACAGGTGTTCAAGTGTGATGATTTGCTTATCGTGATTATATGCTTATGCTTCCTTCATCCTGCTTTAGTCTTTCCATTCCAGTTCGAAAATTCCCATGTGAATTTCTTCAAGTGTTTTTGTAGGGGCAATGTTTGCGTGAAGAACTACTCTGATTAATTTGTAGAACTCTATTACCATAAAATACTTTAGTCTAGTCTTTGTCTCAGCTTAACATGCACGTGTAGGATCCCGATCAGTTACTCCAGTTGTTCTTCTTTCTATTTATGTGCAGAAATTGCAACCCGTGCCAGCACAGCAGAGACCAGTCAGATCTCCTACTATCTCTACCTACTTCTCAGGATGCGCACCTACTCTCCGTCTGCGTGTAGCCTGTCATCCACTCTCTGAATATGCCTCAATAACCTCACGATTACTTCCTCTCAAGACCGTTATTGTGAAAAAATCCTTAATATTATTTCGAATTATTCAGAGTTATGCAGACACGTTCTATGCGGCGGCAACGGAAAGCGTCGAATCGAGAGAAGTTCATGGAAAGAGACTGAGCGACTTCATACTCTCTAATGACATTGAACGGTATTTTTCCCAAAGTACACTTAACACTAAAATTTAACCTCTTTTCGATAGGATATGAGACTTCTATTTAAAAATAAAATCCATGCAGAGATAACGTTATCTCCACGATGCTATGCCACTTGTTTATTCATGCGAAGCAAAAAGACACACCTAGCGCACTAGTTAGACCTGCCCTGCCAGAGACACCGTTCTGATCTTTCGGTGGATCCCGCGCTAAGTCTTATCAGATTTTCTATTCTTCAAACTGGTTACCGACCATCGACTTCATACACCAGTAGGCATCGAAGTGCCATGTATAAACCTAATATGCATTTAAACATCCCTGCAAAGCTTAATGAAGTTGAATACATGACATATCACTAAGATTACATTAAGGCCGAATGCTTTATTCATTTACACGTGTAAAAGTAAAGGAAGAATGACTTTAACTAAAGATTACATGCAAAATTTCTTCGTCAAAATTACACAGTGCAGGTGGATGTAGATCTTGTCGAATGGTTTTTTTTAGATGGAGCACGGCATTTTTGGATCCGAGTTGGACACATCTGGTCATTCGTCAAATGAAGGTCTGTTTGATACCAGGTAGAAACGAAATTCAAGATCTTCTATAGTCTTATGTTTTTATAGCAATATGGCATTCTATTTTTTCTTTTTTTTTTATTTGCAAAATGATTATTTTCTTAAGAACCATAGATAAAATATCTGCACTGAAGTTAAGGACAAAAGAATATGCTATATGCATCACCAGTAGCCCCGTTTATAATCGAGTAACCTGAGCCACCACCGGTGAAATTTTGGTTTACTGCTGCGACATAACCGAGACGCTCAGTAGGCCTCCGTTTCCTTGAAGACCACAGAAGCACCATAATGTTCTTACGATGCATTGCTCCGCTTTTTGTCGCCTTTTGCTAACCAAGGGCATCTCGTCATATCAGCTGTGATGTAGGTTTACTCGTATTCCATCTCCTGGGTAGGAAGTTTCGAACATTTTGAGAAAGGTTTGGTCATATCTAATAAAAATTCAATGAAATAAAAAAAATCTGTTGCTTCAGATCAACACTTTGGACGAGTTTTTCTCGTTGATGATGCGAACGAGAAATGTCAGGCTACAAATTGTCAATCGTGTGCTCAAGGGAATTCCGATCAGAGCTCACTTTACGATAAGTCTCAGAAACGCCAAGGTTTGTTGTCGTTTTCTACTTCCTCTTACAACGCAGCGACATCACCGTGCACAAGAGTGGATGTAGTTCGAACATTTTGGTAGACGCTGCACAACTTTCGATCCGATGAAAATCGCTAGCATATTAGTCAACTAGGGATAAAGTTGTAGTATGTTCACCAACAGCTCACCGGCTAGGAATAAAGCTACCATATGTTCACCAACAGTTCACATGCCATTACACATAAAAAAAATTCTTCAACTTTATCCAAGAATATGTGAATTGACGGAATATGCGGCTTCGTATCTTGACAGATGATCGCCGAAATAGACTTTGTTTCCTATCGTTATTCTTCACCTGTACCGCCTGCATCACCCGTAGTCCCGTTGATCGTCGAGTGATTCGAGTGGGCGCCAGTAAATCTTTCATTTTTGCCCGTCGCGTGCAAGAGTAGCCCAGTGGGTTCTGCTCGCTCTAGGGACTCGTCGAGCATCATATCTTTCTTCTAGGCTCTTCGTGAAGAACTCTGACCATTGGGTCCGTGGTCTTCCTGCAGTACGTTTGACATCCCGAGGAACCCAGTCACTAACGGCTCCTGTCCATCGGTTGTCCTTCATACGTATGACGTGTCCGGCCCACCTTATCTTTGACTTATTTATTTATGTGATCTTATAAACTGATCTTTTTAAGCTGACGCGAGGTTGGTACAGATCTTCGTTGTCGTTGTCGTTGTTTTTGATGTTATTTATTAGGATACAATAGCTGACGTTTCGGCGACTTCGCCTTTCTCAGAGCCGTGATGTTACGTGCGGGAGTCCTGTTTATAATTTATGACAGTTTATAAGATCACATAAATAAATATATTAACTATCTATGCCGAGGCTTATAGAAAACCGGTTTTTCGAGTTATCTTCGACTGTTTGGCGATAACGAAAACAATAACAGCATCTATACCAAACTCGCGTCAGCTAAACAAAGTTCGTGGAAATATATATATATCACCTGTATCACCTATAGTCCCGTTGATTGTCGAGTGACTCAAGAGGCCGTAGTAAATCTTCCATTTTTCCTTGTCGCGTCCAAGAGTAGCCCAGTGGGTTCTGCTCGCTATAGGGACTCGTCGAGCATGATGTCCTTCTTCTAGGCTCTTCGTGAAGAACTCTGACCGTCGGGTCGGTGGTCTTTCTGCAGTCCGTTTATCATCCCGAAGAATCCAGTCACTAATGGCTCTTATCCATCGGTTGTCGTTCATACGCATTACGTGTTCGGCCCACCTTATCTTCGACTGTTTGGCGTACAGAACGGCATCCATGAATTTTGATTGTTGGCGCAGATCGGATCTTCAGATCCTATACCATTCTTGTGTGGAACGGGATACCCCTAGCATCGTCCTTTCGATTGCGCGTTCTATAGCGCTGAGTGATCTTTCATCCTGCCTACGCAGCGACCAGGTTTCTGACGCATACGTTAGGACCGGAAGTACCGCTGAGTCGAAAAGGTGGGCACGGAGTTGGGTGTTTTTGTCCACTTCACTACTTCCTCGATGCTTTTGAAAGCTCCCCAAGCCGCTCGTTTCCTTCTGCTCAGCTCCGGAGCTAGGTCGTTCATCATATTGATGTCGCGGCCTAGATGGATATAACTGGAGCATTCAGAGATATTCGTTCTGTTGAGCGTGAATGGGGCATGCGAAACCAATTCGTTCTTCATGAATATCGTTTATGTGAGATTTAGTCGAAGACCACTGTTTCCATAGGCTTTTTCAAAGACGGCAAGCATGCGTTCCGCTTGGCTAAGCTTTGGTGTTATAAGGACGTTGTCATCAGCAAAGCGGAAATGGTGTAAGTGCCAACTGTCGATTTTCGCTCCCATATTATCCCATTCCAATTTTCGCATGACGTTCTGCAGGGTGGCGGTAAATAATTTTAGCGAGATTGTATCACGTTGCCTAATTCCTATTTTGAAGTCAATGTTAATATCGTTGTAGAATGGTGAGTTCTCGGTTGTGAAATTTTTGTACAGCTCACGAAGAATCTTTATGTACTGAGCAGGGACTCTTTGACTATCAAGGGCTTCCATGACTGCTTCTATCTCAACTGAATCAAATGCCTTCTGTAAATCGCTGAAAGTGAGACAGAGCGGTCTTTTGTACTCTCGCGATACTTCAGTGAGTCGTGTTATCGTGTAGATGTGGTCATCGTACTAAATCTTTTTCGAAACCCTGCTTGCTCACATGGCTGTCCTTCGTCCAGTGTTTTCTCAATTCTGTTTAGCATGACTCGAGTAAAAAGTTTGTAGACGACAGACAACAAGCAGACTGGGTGATAGTTGCCGTTATCGTCTAGGTCACTCTTCTTAAAGAATAACACGATCTTGCTGGTTTTCCACCTTGTAGGGACTTTGCATTCAGACAGGTAACGTGCGAAGAGCCCTGTTTAGGAAGACTGGCGGAAGGTTCTTCAGGTGTTCTGGTCTTATCCTGTCCGGACCTGGCGCTGTTCGTTTTTTCACCGACTAAATCGCATGTCGTATTTGGGGAGAACCTGTGGTACAACATATCCGTCCTCTATTTTATATGACGGAAGATGGACGTGGCTATCGAAGAGATCTAAGTAATATTCGTGATTGATTTTCTTCATTGCCTTTTTTGACGTTGTAACTGTTCCTTCTGAGCGTCTGTGTACATTCATTTTGGTCTTATAATTGGCGAACCTTCGGTGGGCTTTGTGGTTTTCCCAGCCTCTGCAGCTTCGACCATTACTGCTGATGTTCTCTCTCTCTAAGATCTTTTTTATCGCCTATCTTTATTGTTTCGGAAGTTCGGACGTTACTTCACGGTTGCCTGCAACTCATGCGATTTCACGCTGGCGTATCAGCTGGAGTGTTTCTGCACACAGACGTCTCTTGGTGACTTTCGAACTCTCAGCATTCATAGCGCTGACGTAAAGATGTTGAATGAGGTGTTCGTATTCTTCGTCGATGTTATCGGCAAGGGCATCTTTTCAGCAGCCGGCTAATGAATTGAATAAGTCCCAGTTTGCGGTGGTTTTGGGACATCGGTTTTGAAATTTAGCGGCTTTTTCTCCTTTCCGCGAGAAACAGAATCTTGAACGAAGGAGGCCATGGTCGGATTCCGTGTAGAATTTTAGGACGACAGCAACATCGGTTAGGCAAAACCTTCGGTTTACTATGATGTGATCTATTTCATTGTGGTACTCTCTACTACAACACTCCCTCGCCCAGCGTTAAGGGTGGGTTTTTGGAATTGCGAGTTGCTTTGGACGGCCTTGGTCGCCATGATAAACTCATAAAGCCGGCTTCCTGTTTGTTCCATTCCAATCCTTGGGTCCCAATGTGACGTTCTTCAGACGTTCTTATTGTTCCAATCTTGGTGTTTTAATCTGCAACGTTAACCTTGACGAATGTGTGGTCTTCTCTGCATTACTTCTCCAAGTCCACATAGAACGCTTTGACTTCTTCTTCGTCATAGTTTGATGTCGGCGCGCAAACGTCCGACGAAGGTTGCCAAACCGGTGTTGACCCACATCTTTTTAATCGTAAACGTCCGATTGGGGTTGTAAGCTGTTCGAATGGATCGATGTCCATGGACAAACTCGTGTTGAAGGGAACGCCGACGCCGCCGACTCCTCTACTGTCGTATGTTCCGGGGAACAGTTCTTCTCCTGTGTCATAGACGGCGTTGAAAGGCTGGCGTCTTCTTGTCTCGGCGAGGCTGATCACGTCGTACCTTCACTTCTTGCTTGCATGAGCAATTACTCTATCGAGGACTCAGTTGCAAGTGTACGTGCATTGCAGGTACAGATCGTCACCATAGTTCTTTGTAATCTAGACAGCTTTCATTGGCCCTGAGATTTTATCAGCCTTTCCGTACTCGTCCTACCTAACGCTGCGAAATTATGGGCTTTTTCGGGTTTAGGGAAATGAGGCCCGCTTTTTTTTCTGTGTTTGTTATTTGGATACCCACGTATAGCTAGCTGTGCTCGGAATGTAGTGGCTGGGTGTACTCACTGGTGGCTTGCCGGTCTTTCCCAGAGTGTGCTTGGAGCTTATTTGTTGGAGGCGACTCCTAACCGTCTCCCATATACTTCCCTGTCACTTGCTTGCGGGCTTTTGGCCGAATTGACTCGTAGAATACAATCCGCATAAGCAAGAACGCACCCACACACGCATGCATGAATGCTCCTAGCAAATACAAAAAGTATGTGCCAAATCAGCGCAGTAAAAAACAGAGAGTCCATCCCCTGGATCCACTTGCGTCTCAGGGAAGCAAAGGTCGCTTTTGGTCCGCGATTAACTCCCTATCCGCCACCTGGGGACGCGCCATATAGCCTCGCGACTAACCGGCCCGAGATCCCTCATATGAGGGAAATTCGTGTTATAAGGGAGTATCCTTATCTTCAACAAATGTGACATAATGGGTAAGCATACGTGACTGTGAGGAAATTATTATCTCTCGAAATTTATTAGTTTAAACACTCATCAGGCTTTAGTTCATTAAATATGAGGTTGTTGACACATGTTGTAATAGAACAACTAATACCGAAATTCACTTTAAAACTTATTGTGGGCTTCGCGTTGTTTCACCTAGTCAGATCTCTGCAGTAATTTTCTGAGCAGTAAAAGCTTGGATTCTAATAGTCGTGACGCTTGTGCTGGTGACGATAACCAAAGCGCACATAAACATGCGGAGCGATTATTAATGGAAAAGCATTTCACCCTGGATTACCTACGTTTTGCTCTCATCATCGACTAGAAGACCATAATCTTGAGACCAGACAAAAGAAAGAGTAAAGCAATGTTTCGAATACTTGTGACGAGATTACTGTAAAGGAAAGTCGTTTATTTTTACACGTAATATAAGCATAGCTCAAAACCAATAATGTCCATGAAATGGCTTTAAGTAGAAATGCAACCGATCCTATTGTGCTGTTATTATCACTATATTTCCTTGTTCTTTACTCTATTTATAGCGAAAAAGCTTTAACTTCGTGACTTTTGCTGTGCGATTTTCTTAGGAATCACTAACGAACAGTTGTGAATCGGATTCACATACTCTAATACTGCGGGCATCTCACGATTCACCAGACACGGCAAAGTTTGACATCAAGAATGAGCTGGAGGAATTCGAAAAGGTGATCTTTCTCATATGATGAATACTTTTTATTTTTTAAAAAATGCTGAGCGTTATAATCATCTGAGGATTTATGTACATATAAGAAAGGATGAGGCTAACGGCGTTGATCAATCTCTGAGTGTAGTGCGCCATGCATTCGACTTCATAAAGCATCGTTGAAGGTGACTGAATGCATATCTGTCCTTTACAACTAATCGCGGTGACCTACCGATGTATCGAGCCAGTGCTCCTATCCTCTTGGACGAGTTCGGTGTCAATTGCCGACCCGTGGGGATAGAGTGCTTGGTGGGCCATGGGCACGGGTATCGATTCCACGTGTGTGTCACAGTGGCGCCTCCAACCATTGCGCCACACGCGCCCTTTACACGGGCACGTATAATACATATATATAATCCCCCCAACGGTTTCCCACCTCATCGTGGCTGGGAGGAGTTCTTAGGTGTCGGGTAGCCATGTACAGTTCGGGATTCATCCTCCCATCATGGTCTCTCATGCTAAGAAGGAATCCGGCGTTTCTATCAGGAAGCCTAGCTAAGAGTAAACCAATACCAGGATCCACCGACGTCCTGGTGTCAAACTATCCGCATAGTGGCAAATCTTCCTCTGATTTACAACGGCTTCCAGTGCCTGTGGTGGTGATGACTTGGATCAGACTTCGACCGAGTTGACCTTAGGATTCCAGAGAACCACAATGGCTTAACCAGCAAGTCTCCGAAGAGGTGGAGATTATGCTACGGCTGGTGCAAGCAGTGAGGGTGGGCCATCCAAGTATCCAAATGTGTACCTATAATGAAATTGAAATGGGAAAAAAATAGCCTTTAAGATTAGAGTAGGCTTGTAAGTAGTTAGCTGTTCCAGTTCTATCAGGTTCTCTACATACAGATTTTCTTTCTGGAAAATGTTTTCCAAAATATTTCCGGTTCATGTGAATGCGCAGCGGCTCACAGCGCAGTCACTCTCTGCCTTTAGAGTTTTTGCCCAAAACTTTCCTCTGCTTTAAGGATCTCTCGTTCATGATCTATATGCAGAGCGATGACGTAGACAATGTGGAGCAATTTGTAGACGTAAGTTCTGACACTGTTTTTATCTGTCTTTTCTATTCGGTAGTTGTCGCACTTGGTACAAATAGAAGGCCATAAATGCAAAAAAGTCCTAATAAACTGGGAAAGCAACAAACGTCAATCGGGGAAATATGATGTAGGGAATAAATTGTGAGTGCTTAGATTTTCTTTATGGGTTTTCTAGTTACTGTTTAATTAACTTATGCGAGTAAAACGGTGGCAAGTAGTGAATTTTCCTTGAATCAACCCTATAAACAATTAATGATGAGTTTGTAAATGCTGTACGAAGAATTTCATCAGAATCGGAAAGTGCCGTACCTCACTGGAGGATGTAAAACATATAGTTGTAAACCGGATTTTTCTAGAAATTTCTCACGAATCCATAATTACAGTACATTAATGGTAAAGATGCCCAAGATTATATTCCGAGGCTAAGACTTATGAAATTAGACTATAAAGCTGACGTAACCAACAAAAATAGTAATGGATGAGCGAAACAGGCAAACAGACTTAGAAGAAGAGGTGAGTTGAAGAAAGTATTGGGAAGGATTTCATTCATCTATTCCGAGAATGGAGATGTGGATTTCTCAATGCAGAAACGCTTCTGTACTCCATGTCCCACAATTCGTTTGTGTTATCGGTTGTGTGACGATCACTGAAGATTCGTTTTCTAAAAAAATGCCTCTATTATAAAATGCAGTGTATTTTTATCCTACGATACAACAAGCCACACATTGCTTCTCATTTTATTTCTGATCTTCCACGTGGGAATCATTTTTCTTGCAATCTCATCTCTGCAGTTTCTGATCATCTCCTCTAGCCGTGGAAGACGAAAGATCGCATGAGACGACTGACCTCTTCGTTTGCTGAGAATTCTTGGACATCGGCATAAGTCGTCGTCAAGTCGTTTATCGATTCGACGTTGGAATTGGATTTCAGCTGCTGATCTGAATGGATCGTATGGCATTTTCTTCTGTGCTGCAGACAAGCGTGGTGCCTTGACCATTTCTTAGCGCATTTATGTTGCCATTTTTCGCAACTGCGGACGATTTTTGAAGACAACTAAAAAATTTCTATAGTGTATTTTCATCAACTAGAGATATTATTTATCATTGAACTCAGTTTATTTCATTTTATACATTTGGCCGAGTTTATTACAGGTTTTAAATGAAAGGGACAAACGATAGAGCTCGCGGTGTTGATCAATCCTTGAGTGACGTGCTATGCATTTGGCTTCATCAAGCATCATTAGAGATGAATGAATGTATATCTAACCTATACGGTGACTTGAGGTGGCCTACCGATGCATTGAGCCGGTGCTGTTATCCTCCTAGACATATCGGATACCAGTTTTCCAGCCCCGCAGGAATGAAAAGGTTAATGACCCAGTGCTGCGGGATCGAACCCATGTGTATTGCAGAGCGCCTCTAACCACTACGTTGCACGCCCACAAATCTTTAAATAACACGTTATAATTGCTGATGAGCCCTCGAACGCAACCCGCCTTGTGTCGTTTCCTATTATATTACCCTTGGTTTGCTTAAAAATAGCATAGTCTGAAGAGAATTTTAGAGGATACGTGGAATTTTCTAGTAAATAATCACATCAGCGGACCATTTCGTCACTTTATCACGACTTAACTTTATACTTTTTTCCAAAGCTTAGAAATAAAACGGGTAACAGTTACGGACATAGTTATGATAAGCATATTAACAGTTTCGCGATGGCGCCTAATTCCTCATTCTTACGAAGTGGGAAAAGCCTAATTTTTTGCTGCTCTCACTATGACACCGATAGATGTCCCATCGGCCACTCTGGAATGTTTTCTTGGAGTACCGCCCTTTTTCGCTTTGATTTTCGTTCCATAAATCGGATTTTTTCCGCGTTTTGAGGAAATTTCTGCGATTTCCTTTTCCTAGTTATGCTCCATGTTCTTCTACACAGCCACCAATCATATTTCTGGCGCATGTACATATTTTGCGTGTGAAGAGAAACATGTGTCCACTATGCGATGGTACTGCTGTCGACACCACAGCAGTCGTATAGGTTCTGCAAGAAATATGAAGATACTTACCTTTCAGTTTCCATATCCTGTCATTCTAAACATTACCTAAAAATTGTCGTAGTTATTACTGACAACTGGAAGACAACTAATTGCTTCTCAGAAATGATGCATGTTCTTCTAGGCACAGGCATTTCTGGGTCTCTTCAGTGGCTACACTTCCTCTGCTGCAACTCTCCTCCATACCAACGCTCTCTTGTCGTAAAGTGAGAAATTGGTGAAAAATCATTAAGGAGACATTCTTCTATGGTTGACACCCGCCACAGCATCTGCGCTATATAGACAATCGATTGACTACGAGAAGGGTGGGAAATAAACTTTTGTGAACCAAAATAAACAACTGGAAAGCATGTGAGACCTATAATGCCATACTCGCTGCTGGCGCAAAACCGTTGTGACGCCTATGGGTGTCATTCGTCGCGAGAGTATTAATTCACGGCATTTTGTACGTGTAATGCTGCAGAGTACTAGTGGTAAATGTTTCTTTTATTCAGAGTTGCTTCTGTATTTCATTTCCTCACTTTGAAGGTGCTTGTACAGCGCAGTTGGTAGACGCGTTCTGAGATACACATAGTCATTGGTTCGATTCCGCGCTTGGGATTATATGCAACAGTGATCTGATACATCAGTTAGTCACTGCAAGTCATTTTTGCGACTAAATATGCATTCAATCAAATCGGCGTTATTACAAATGCATGCCGTCTAATACATGCTCTATCTCTTGAGAATTGATCAACTCCAAACGCTTCATTGTTTTCATACCTATTTTAGTTCACTTTAAATAGTTGTCACCTTGAAACTTTTCTGGTCCTTGTCAAGATTACTCTTAGCGTCTTCGTTTTGCAGAGATTCCACATCGTTTAAGGTAGTTCGATCAGACCAATCAGAAGCATTTGATGTGCATTTTTTTCTAAACTATTTGCAAGCGTTCATGGTTCGGATGTTTCTTATCATATTGTATTCCTAATCTTTGGTACTTCTAATAAGTTTTCATAGTTTTCTAAAAGCATGGAGAAGTCAGAGCTTTTGCATAGAGGGATTTTCCATAGCTATTTTTCTTCTTTTAATGGGTTAAATTATACGTGTGGTACACTAACACTTTTTGCCAGTTCCTTATCGTCGGTGTTACCGCGGTTAGAGTTGACAAAAGCCTGAAAGAAGAATTTCAGAATCGGCATTAATCGAACTGCTAACGAGTTTTACTGATCCGTGCCTCAAAACTTCTAGCGAACGCTCTTCACACCATCCTTTTCTCGTTTTAACCCGTAGCGCTTCGCATGCATACTGTAGTGTCCGTTTCCCATTTAGTGCGTCCCATAGTTTTTTGCATTATATTAGCTAATCGAAAACAAACCAAAATAGGAGTTGTAAGAGCAGAAAAACTGTTTTCTACATTCGACGATTTACAAAAGCCCTCCCTTTTTTTTTGAAAAAATCATGAGTTGAGTAATTTGATTAACTATTAGCTGTTAAATACAAACACAATGATGCTGAGATATTTGCAAAACTCCGGACCGCAGTTCTCTGCGGTGGGGAACGAACGCGCTATTACCCTTTCTAGGGGCTAACGCTCTCACCACCACACCATGCGGGTCCTTCTTTCCTCCTGTCTCCCAGATGGTTCTATCGATCAATGCTCTCAGCAATCACACCCGTCAACGAGATTGATCTGGGGAGCCAAAATCGGCGTTTAACTCAGTTAAGCTGAGGCTGTAGTTGAAATCGCAATCTTAATTGTTACTCATTTTCCATTGTGATTATATCATGCGTGTTCATAGAACGGTGCGACAAAATATTTTCCAAACGTCGTTATATTCATAACTCTTAAAGCAGTCTAGTCATTGAAAAATTATTTTTTATCGTCAAAAAGCCTGGAGGCTTGCAGTCGACGAAATATTGCTTGTTTTCCATTCGGAGATCTACGCTAAACAGCGCGCGTGCGGTATGGGTTAAAAACGATTTTTGTGTATATTTATGCTCCCTGAGACTTTAAAACTATAAAAAATGTTTAACGTTTTGTTTTCTGCTTTCTATAATTTTTATGGCAGGTTACTAAGCGAAATACAACCACAACGTTGCTGAGATATTTGCAAAACTCTGGACCGCAGGTGTCTATGGTGGGGAAAACCTTTCCGGAAAGGACAATAGCGCGTTCGTTCCCCACCATAGACACTATAAAAAATGTTTTGTTCTCATAAGGTTTATGAACTATTCAAGCTGTTCGCTGCGATGTGTTCCTTGCATTGAGCTACAGCGAGTACGCTGCACCATACGACGTAGAACAACAACTCATGAGCTTCGTTCATGGCTAGATATTTTTATTGTCAGTGCCTGTTTAGTACTTACGTACGCTGGTGCGTTCCAAGACAGAAATAAGCGTTTTTCTCGGAAAAATGGCTAGGTAATGCAAAAAAGAATCATGTAGTCGCTCTTTATAAATCGCGGCATGAAATGAAAGCAAATAAACGAGAACATTTTAACACTCACAGGTTAGAACAGTATATAAGTCGTCGAACATTTTTCACTCGAAAATCTTGTTAGCCATATCAATCAGAGCAGAATTACGGACGAGAACGCCGGAGAATCCGATCTCTTTGAGCGTGAGCATCTCCCGCTCAATGTCTCGTACTCGTTCACTATGCATTGACCGCCATGCAAGAGCCTTCACATTCGTTAACTGTGCATAGTTCACCAACTCTTCCAGACGATTCCACGAACCTTCATCACGGCTTCCAAAATTATGATATTTAAATACAACGTACGGTATTGCTTTTAGTTCGAAGTCCATGAGAAGCGCAGCATCTTTTTGATAGTGCGGTACGATTGTCGAGAGGATCCGATGATCGCCTTCGACAAGTTCTTCAAGAGGTTGGCCGTCCCGTCGTATAATGGTTTCCACTTCGTTAAGCACATTGCCGTCTTTTAGTTTCATCAGAAACCCGTATAGACCTTTATGTGAACATATGGCAATGTCTTCTGCCCAAATCTCAGGATATGTTCGTCTGCTAGTAACTTCTAGGTAGACTCTCGGCTTGTAGGGCGCTCCATCAAGAACTTTAGCGAGAACTTGTCGTCGCCATGGATCACTGTAGGTAGTTTTCTGCCTGATATCTATAAGAATGGCATCTGCTGAAGAAAAACGATTCCATATGTAGGTTTTTGCATCGAAGTATTTTGGTAGAGTGAGCCGAATCAGTGAACGAATTCTCGGCGCGTTTTTGATGGAGAACGCCATTTTGAGGAAGTATTTAGCAAGTAGGGGAAGGTTAATATTCTTAATAAGATGAAATCGTTACCAAACCAGTTGCTAATGTTAGTGATGACCAAATGAGACATCATTCATAATCGTTTCCATAAGTTTTTATGAATCATATTGTAAATGATAAACAAATGAAGTTCAATCTCTTCACTCCACAGATACATGTAGCGGCATTTTGATTCGTAATCTGTAAACTCGTGGAAGCGGCGGTTGTGACTTGACCTTAGCAATAATTTCATCGTATTTAAACAATGTAGAACATATTGTTCCATTCTTGTGGAGAAATTTGCCATATTCACTAACCCAAGCAGTGGAGCAGCAATTTCATGAAGGCGACCGACTTCGTTCATTTACAGAACTTTTCTTGACTGTCACTTCATGCTTTAACCACTCAGTCAGTCACATCTGTGCAGTTCATAATTTCACATTCGAAGATTTTTTGATAGCATGACATTTCTCTAAAGTGGAAGAAGTAATCATCGCTTCTGAAATTGAAGAAACGGCAAGAAAAAAACGTAACCATATAGGGAAGTGGTCGAAGAAGAATTGCCGCAGGAACGAACTTCTTAACACAAAGCGCCTTCTGCGTTGACCATTCTTTAGAAGATTCACCATGCACTCGACTTCATCAAGCACCGTAGGGGTTTCTGAATGCATATTTGATCTATACAGTGACTTACGGCGGTGTCTTACCGATGTATCGAATCTGTGCTGCTATACTCCCAGAGATGTCCGATACCAATTTGTCGACACTAGAGAGATGGAAGCCGTGATAATCCCTGGATAAGGCATCGAACCAAATGCCACGTGCCAGGGCACCTCTGACCACTGCTCTACACTCGCCTTCCATCACTCACAGCCCATATTTAATCTATTGAATAGTTAGTTATTACCTGTCACATGGGATTTCGTCAATCGTTAAATAACCTGAGCGAGCAGTATAGTCCGTCGTGCATGTGATCTGTTCAATGGGCTCCATTTCCGTTTGTATAAGTGACACGAGGCAGACTACACTTTTAATATAATACCTGTCCTTTCCGTTTCTGACCACAGCTGAAGCAAGCCCATCAGCCTCTACGAAGATAAGTTCATTGCCTTTTGTTTTGAGTATGTCTTACAACTTCTGAACTCAACTTGAACGAATATGAATCCTTGCTTTATGTAACCTTGCGAAAGTCGGAATCAACCACCATGAACGATGAGGTGATAAACTATTAGAGGAAGTTTCGTTTGGCATTACTAAAAAAGCTCCATTGGCTTTCTAGGTCTCATTTCGCTTGAAGTAAAGTAGATTATAATCGCGCTGCCACTGTTGTCAACCTAGCAAGCAGATTGTTTTGTTGCGTTTGGTTACAAAAGAAGAAAAATTGCTACAAAAACTAACATAAAACTGCATTCGTGATCGGAGTAGGTGTACGGAAGAAGAACAAAGAACAGCAACAGCAAAACCAACAGTAGCCGATTTATGACGATCGCATCAATTAAACAGAACAACATAATATTGCTGTGTCGCTGACGGCGACTAGTTAGGGAGAACTAGTCAATGTCAAATCATCACTTTAACGAACTTCAACAGTGCCGGCACACTAAACTACTTTAGCCATGTAACAGCGACACAGTTGACTGTGAGTGTAAAGGGGACATAGAATTCAAAATTCTTAAGCGTCTCTGCTACTTTCCGGTTGTCTTTGTACACAATAAATTATTGGGGAAAAATATCTCTCTACATGGTTTTTTTTGCTTGTAAGTGGTGTTGTAATACGTGCAGGTATTTATCACCGTGTTCTTCTTACTGTCATCATATTCTATCCTTATATCAAGGGAGCGTGTGACGAGATGGTCGGAGGCGTTCTGCAACACACACGTGAAATCGATTCTCACGCCCATGGCCCACCAAGCCCCCCATCCCTCCGGGGTCGGCAAATTGGTAGCAGACTTGCCTGAGAGGATAGCATCACTAGCTCGATACATCGATAGGCCACCGCGAGTCATTTTAAAGGCCAAATATGCATTCGATCACCTCCAAACGATGTTTAATGAAATTGAATGCACGGAGCATCGCTCAGAGATTGATCAACGCCGAAAGCTTTTTCCTTTTTTTATCAAGGTATTCAGGTAATTATTGTTAAGATTAAGAGATCTAACGGCGACAACATCGACTAGACTTCTGTATGATTCCTTCATATCAATTCACCAGTTCGACTACGCCAATTTTCTAAAGCATAGTTGCTTAGATGCTTCGCCTTTGCCAAAAATCTCTCAGCTGCAGTACGATTTCCTTCCGATTAGCATTTTCTTGATTTGGCATATCTTCATGTTAAAAATTCCAACATAGCTGCGCCATGGCTCATACAGATTCTTACAGTGCTGTCACTAGACTTTGGGAGCTTGTTCCCTTGCAACTGGTTTTCTACCGAGAGAGCAATTAGTGGCACTGGTTCATTGGGATTAATTTGAAATTACCAGAGTAGTGTTTTGGGCACATCGAATAACTTCGGTAGGCTTTGTTATGGAGTAAAATCTGGTTGATTCGGACACAAAAATCCATCGATACTCAGGAAAAATTCTCATTTTACTTTTTAAAGAAGTTTTTATCCTGATAGGCTTTTTCTTCCATTTTTTTCGTCCACTCTTCTGGCTATTTGTTTCTTATAATATTCCATTTCGCTTGAAACCCGTACTTTTTGGCTGCGTACTGCTCCTGTAATGGCACCGATACCACTTAACTGTTCGTTCCACCCATACATAACCTAATTCCTCGTGCCTTATATAATCTGTGACATTTTGCAACTATAAGCGGACTTCTTCACTGGTTGAAAAACACATTATTGAGAGCACAAAGACTAAGGTTAGTCACCAAGAGAAAGGGTGTACTGAAAACTGGGTATTCCATTATTAGGATAAACCAAACGTCAGGGATATCATTTCGCTGTGAAAGACGCCAGAAATCTGCCATTATGAGAAGATATTGAATTCCTTTGTCTTCGGCTTTTACAATGTCCTTGTGCAGTTGCTCATCTTTTTTCCACTTTCGTTTTTGATTTAGGTTCTGTTGTTTCCGAATCAACTAGTAGAAAGACCGGTCGAAGGATTTGCTTCGGAAAGGTAGTTTTCTCAGATCTACGTAAAGGTGAAGACCTGGGAACGCCCGTACAAGGTTGAGTCAGGTTCCAAAGAGTATCCAATTCTCAGAAACAAGTCATCCTGGGTATTCCCCGCACTGATGCTCCCCGTCTATTAACTATGGCGGGTAAGATGAATGGTGAGTGCTCAAAACATAGCAGGTTGCTTGGGACGCATCTCGATTTGCTTAGGATAGAACTAGAACCATATATGAAAAACATCCCTACGACATGCCGTAGAGATGGTTTCTTAGTCTTTACATATAATATCAGGACACTATCCTTAAATGCCCAATCTTCATGTTCTCCTTAAAGCTACAGCACCCATGAAATTCTATGTAATCGTCCTAGTAGAAGCAAAAAGTAGGGAGACAGACATTTGTCAACTAAACAACAGGACACTTGTCATCTACGGACGAAAGGTTCCATCACGAAATATCAGTGGCATAGCTTCTCTTGTCCATCCGTCCATTGCCCACTGACCGTTCTCCGTCTTCAACCAACGCATCATAAACTCACTCTCATTAATTGCTACTCAACGACCAATGAAGGTGAGTAGTACTACGTATGAGATGCGTTCTATTATCAGTTGGAGAAAGTTATCTGCAATGATAAATCGTATTATAAATTTGTTGTCGGAGACTTCAACACCAAAATTGGAAGCTCCAACGAAGGCAAATAAAGGATAAGAAATCTTGGATTAGTAGAAAAAAATGCGACGAGGGACCTTCTTGCAGGACTCTTGTTTGCGTCATGCCCCTTCCAAATGAAGACAGTCGTCGCTGAACATAGTAGTCACCTAACGGTGCAATATGTGCGGATATCAACCGCACCCTTGCAGAAAATGATGCTTCCTTTTCACATCCATTTCTATTAGTCTCTAATGGGTTACGACCTTCTTCTTACGATGATTCGATTCTGCCGTAAGATGGAATACATTTAACGTCACCAATCAAGAAGGAAAAGTCTGACTGTATATGACGCGAACATGCTGAACTAGATCTGCGGTAATCATGGTTGGCAGTTGAGGATAACCTGACCAAAGAATACGAGCTATTTGTGGAAGGACTTAAAAGTTGTGATTGCTGATGATACTGTTAGGGTGAAATAACAGGGTGAGAGCGAGACAGAAGGAGGGCCTCAGTGGTGCAATGGGTAACACGTTAGCCACGGAAAGCGTAGTCACAGGTTCGAGTATGCCCTAGGTTCTAAGTTTTGTAATTATCTCAGCATCATTGTGGTAACATTTCACACAATACCTTGCCATGATAAATTAAGGGGCACTAAATAGAAGTTATATATTGTGATTCAAGAGTTTTAAATTACGTCAGTTTCTCAAGCAAGACCATTGTGTTGACGCGCCTGGAGACCTTTGCGACTACAATGCTCCACTATTTGTCCTGATTAACGAAAACCGCTGAGACTGCATGCCGTGGTATGGAAGTGATATCGAAAAGTTTCACAGCAACTTTTCTGTTCGCAATCTCCGTTCCAGACTGTAAAATCCTGGCTGGAAAAACACTTAGAGTTTGTCATTCTCGAGTTAGAGTTGCGACACAAAGTATGAAAAAGGGTACAGGCGTTTATTTTGCCAAAAAAGATGTAACCACCATCTGATATGCTTATTGAGTGCAGTCCACAAGCTTTTCACGAAGACTATCCTGTCGCGTATATAAAGGACATTCGATGAGGCTCAATCATTTCCGCAAGCAGAACTTAAACAGGGATTTTGCTACATGCAAACTGTATCCAAGATCACAGCAGTTTGTCTCCAATGCCATTTGTCCCTAGTTTTGACTTCCTTAAGCTTCGACTATAAAAAGTGTTTAATAGTGTTGAAGAGAATGCAATCCTATCACGCTAGTCGGGAGCCTGTCCTACATAAGAACTCTACCTGTATTATCGGAAATGCACCACGAAAATACAGCTTTTCCATCGAACTCTTACCATCCCCATAGAAAAAGGTTCGGCATGGCACCACAATATCGCCAAAGCTGCTTACTATCACAAGCAGTAGATAATAATGTCAGTCGTTTACCATGATAGAAGCATACGTAAAGGATAAAGGATAAAGTCTTAGGCGTTGATCATTCCCTAAGGGATGGGCCATGTATTCGACTTCATCAAGCATTGTTAGAGGTGATTGAATGCATCTCTGGCCTATAAACTGACTTGTGCTGGCCTGTCGATGTATCAATTCGATGCCGCTATCTTCGCAGGCAACTCTGGTACCACTTTGCTGACTCCGGAGGATGGAAGTATTGGTGGGTTTGGGACGCAGGTTTGACGAGGTTTGACCCCATCTTTATTGCAAGGCGCATCTAATCACTGTGCTACACACGTTCTGAGGAATATCTGTTGATGGAGATTTTCTAAATCTTTGCTTTATGGCTGATATCGTCATCTTTCCAAACAGTACCAACGAAGCAGGGATGATGATCAGTGAACACACGAAGTGAAAAAAGATCGAACTGCGCAGAAATCGAAAGAAGATACGGTTCAAGAAGAACCTATGTTTCGAACGTGAACACACCTTAGATGTCAACATGGAGAAAAACGTGAAGGACAGTTAGACACTGGAAAAAAGCAACTTGCAGCTTACGTCGCATTTGAATCACTCAATGAAGCCACCGACAAACTAACGGGTGCAAAACTACGCACTCATTTTTTAAACTCAGCGGTACCCCCAGCTCTCTGTTATGCAGCAGAGACGTGGCGTGGTAGGTCAACCATGTATAGAATACTGCATGCTACCCACAGAGAGTTCGAGTGGTATTTTCTGCAATGTAAACGCCACGCAAAACATCTAGCTTGAGTGCAAAGCCCTGACCTTCGAAATCTTTCATCTTCGAGACCCAGGTCAATACAGCAACAGCAAAAGATAAGTGGGCCGATCGCATTAAGAGAAGAGCAGACGAAAGATGAACGAAAAGAAATGTAAGGTGGACGCCACGAAGGTGCAGGCGTCCCCACCTACACACCGCCAGTATGCTCGAATAAGGCCACTGCCATAGTGGACGATCATGAAGCAAAGAAACCAATGGATAGTATACTGAATTTCGCACAAGTGGTAACAGACCGTTCAAGCATCCAGGTATACGAGGAAAGGTGTTGCTGGTGCGCATGTAACGTAGTAACTAGATAGTTCTCGAGATTCTCTGATTAGAGATATACTGCCATAGACGCATCGTCGCTTATTCGATCTCGCGCAGTGTGCTCACCATGGCCTCCGCCCATTCGGCGACGAAAAATGGTAAAATGCTTCTCTGAAAGGATAGAAAGCGCTTGATTGAAACGTCCCTAGTCGTCTTTAAGTTATTGTGTATGTTAAATATACATTCCATCAGCTCCGGGATGCTACGAATGAAGTGAAATTCATGTGCTGTTTCTGAGAGGAGTTAATCAACACAGAATGCTTTAACGTTCTTTTAGAAAGACATTGCTAAGCGACGACAACGGCCAGATCAATAGTCGTCAGAGTAGTTTTGAATAGTTGAATAGTTGTCAGAGTTGTTAGCTCGAGACGACTGCGCGCCTTTGCATGAGCATGCCGCGCGGGACTTTTTTGTGTGGTAGGAACCAAGCACATTCTCAAGCTTTGGGTATAACCGTTTATGGCAATAATAGCTTTTTCTTTCTTCTACTTCTTTCTACATAAAAGTCGTTGAAATTTTCAGATTTTTGCCACACACATAAAATCCTGAAGTTCTGAGAACGATAAAATAAAGTCGTTGAAGACAGTTCAGACCTCAGCTTGGTTTCTGAATCATCTCGCGGAGGAACTTTAGGCAGAAGGTGTGTCGGGTGTGATAAACCAGACAGAGTTTCGTAGACCAGTTCGTTCAACTTTATCAACGTCTGTAGTGTTAAGTGTGCGTTATTGTGGAGAATGTTGGTCTCATCCTGGTAACCAACGAGAAGCGTAGCCCTTAAATTTTCTTGTGCACTTCGTTAATTTGCTGGGCGCACTTTTACGCCGTAATCGTTTTATTGGATTATAGGAAGCTGTGTTGGATCAAACCACTTGGACCATCAAACGGTCGGCGTCACCTGTGTTTGACGCAATGTCGGCTTTAGAGAGTGCTGCGGACCTTTAGTCGCTGTCCAACCACCATGCCTATCGTCGCCAGCTATCATAGAAAATCCATTTCTCGTCGCACATTGCAATAGGGTCAAGACACGGGTTGTTCTAATTGCACAAAAGAAGCACCAACAACACCTTAGATCGGCTATGTCGTTGTCGTTCAATTCGTGGAACAGTTATTTGTCGAGTCTCTTCAACTTTCTGACTTGCTTCAATGTATCTAAACAGTAATATATATTATATTATATAAAATATATATATATTATATAAAATTTATATTATATATAATATAAATTTTATATAATATATATATATTTTATATATATATTATGCTTTTATAAAATGCTTTTCCAAATTCTCTAGCACCTATGCGTGTATTTACTTCCACCAAACTCTTCAATTGATCGTCGGTTTTAACAGAAGGGCCGACGAATTTTTTGAGATCAGCGTTGCACTAAGCTTTAGTTAACACGATCTTGGCTCCATTCCTGATTAACGTGTCGAGTTTCACTACTTTTGAGTTTGAATTTGTAGAAGTAAACTTACTGAGTTTACTGTATTGACACCTTAATTTCCAACTTTTAAAATTTGTTAACAGTGCTATTCAAATTATTTACTTTTTGTTTTCCGCTTCTACAAATTTCACGGCAGGGTATTATGCGAAACACAACCACTACGATGCTGAGATATTTGCAAAACTCCGGAACGCAAGTGTCCACGGTGGGGAGCAACACGCTGTTACCTTTTCCAGGAGCTAACACTTTCACCACCACGATATGGGCTCTCCAGATCAATCCCGTTGACGGGTGATTGCTGATGGCAGTGATCGATAGAACTAGCTGAGAGATAGGCGAAACGAATGACTCGTATGGTGTGGTGGCGAAGGCGCTAGCCCCCAGAAAAGGTAATAATGCGACTTACTTTATAGTTTAATTACATGGGCAGACATGCACAAGATTAGCTTTGCAGTGAAATATGATGTTACAGCATTCGAGAAAACAAAGTTTTCCCTAAAATCTGGAGAGTAAACGCAGAGAGTAGGAGTGGTATTACTATTTCCACGCAACATAGTATTTGTTGTGGCATTTGCTTTTGTAGAATCGATGACTCTGATAAATTTTTAGCATTGATTCTTCGGTTAGCTGCTGGTTTGCCTTCGTTAGTTCTGCGCCGTTGCCATGACGTCGGCGGGACCATAGGAGCGGCAGGGGTGGTTGCTTACCGACCCAGGTGTCGCCTGTCGCTAGTCTTCGAAGCACAAAAAATTTTCTGCTATACGTCTTCACAATGGGACTACTTGACATTATAAAGTCCTTCAAATCAAACAATGGACGTGAGATTCGTATTTTACTATTGGGTCTTGACAACGCCGGTAAAACAAGTATTCTTAAGCAGTTATCATCCGAAGAAATCACCAACGTCACACCAACTCGAGGATTTAACGTTAAAAGTGTTGTCACTAACGGTGATATTCGTCTGAATGTATGGGATATCGGTGGTCAGCGTTCAATACGACCATTTTGGAGTAATTATTTTGAAAACACGGACGCACTGATCTATGTGATTGATTCGAGTGATCGGAGACGATTTGACGAAACCAGCGTTGAGTTGATGGAATTGTTGGACGAGGAAAAGCTCAGGTACTACGAGACTCTCTTAGATATTCTTTTAAACGCCTTGTTTCTTTTCTTTCGTTTTTGTAGACCTCACACTCACTGTGATGTTCATTCCTGTTTAGTGAAGCATGTACCTCTACTTTTCTGCCATGATCATCAGTACAACTAAGGTTCTTTATTGTGTTGAGCGAACTCACCCTTTAAATGGTTGCAGAAAATTTTCTTTCCGTTTCGTTTTTATTGTGCAACCAACTGAACACCAACCACAATGATATCTTTGAATGTTAGGCGCCCGATTTTAGCGTTGACAATCAGTTTACGAGATTCCATTGCCAATTTTGAGAGTGTAGTAGCTGATTGAGTTATCATTGTCTGTTTTCTATCTATTTCAATACTTTTGGAATATTTCTGTTTCTAACTTCTTTGAGCTCTCCTCTAAATCTGTCTTCTTTATTAGATTTTCTAGAATTTTGTAAACGTTTCACACCTCACCGACTTTTCCACATATCTACCCTGTCGACTGTGTTGTTTCACTTCTGGATTTTCGTTGAGTGTTTCAGTGGTGTTCCGGTGTTGGTGTTCGCCAATAAGCAGGATTTGGCCTCGTCGGCACCAGCATCTGAGATTTCCAAGCGGCTGAAGCTCACCGAAATCCGAGATCGAATCTGGCAGATCCAGGGTTGCTCAGCGCTGACCAACGAGGGCGTCTCAGAAGGAATCAAATGGGTGGCTGAAACGATCAAAGCGATCAAATGATATTGTGTATTTGATTCTAAGCAATAAAAGTTTTCCTCAAAATCAGTGCTACACCAATTCGCCAGCATTTTAAGGCAGGTTTATGAGAAAAAATCTTCCTGGCTGATGATTTCTAGTAAAAGTACCCCAAATTACTTGTTGTAGAAGTAGACAACACCTTTTTCGTGAAAAGAGGATAATCAAACATTTGAGTTCTGGGGGTTAATTTATTGGGTTTAAATTGTTCGAATTCCTATATGAAAACAATTTTCAATTATTTTTCAATGATGCTTTTTCACAATGAACAACAATGTAATGTTTCCACCATTCGGTAAGTTTTCCAGTCTCTTAATTGTCTTCTTTTTTAAAATGATGTGTTCATATTTTAGACCCTGACCTGCTATCATCCGGTTTCTGAGGAACAATTCAAGTCTGAAGTCCAGCAAGTACGCTCCCAATCAATTTATTGCTCGATTTCTAAAACTATATCTAAACTGTGTTCAGATTTTAATAGCTATGTCTAGGCTTTCAATCGATATAGACGACATCCATTTCAATTGAATTGCTTTAATAGTTATATTTTCCAACAGCTTTCCTTTTTAATGCAGTTATTCCTAAGGTTGCTCCGAGACATTCGTTGATGTACGGAGAAATATTAAGCTTATGCTCTATTAAATCGAATTCACGCCGGATTTCATTCTCCAGCAAGATTAGCGGAAATGAGACTACATAGGGTTGAATATTTCCGTCTCGAAAGATCAATCAGGAGTAAATCCATACCACGGCAGAACTAAGCGAACTACTAGCGGCTACCATTCATGTCAAAATCAGTGGAAGGATTATCGTACCAAAAGTTGACCATTCGTGTATTTTTCAAACCAGTGAAGGCCGGTGAGAAGCACTGCTTCGCGTAGAGCAGAATGCAGACTTTATTTCTGCTGCTGTCGTTGCTATTTGTTCCCTTACTCAGATACTCGGACGCCCCATGTTCACTGGATGTACCGGCCCTAGCATAATGTCCATTTTTTCGGAGTTTTGTCAGTTTAGAAATTGTGTTTCTCTAGAGTTCTTAGGTCAACCTTGCTAAAGTTTGCCCCAGGTTGTCACTACCACAAGCAGTCGTCGCCCTCGTAGATCTGAGAGAGATTTGCTATTATGTGCCTTGTTTAATAGCAAAACGGTGGTGGATCCTGGTATTGGTTCACTCTTAGCTGAACTTCCAGGTGGAAACGCCTGACTCCTTCTCGGCTTAGAAGACCATGCTGGGGGTGGGGATGAATCACTTCGCTTTACATTGCTGCCCGACACCCAGAAACACCTCCCAGCCACATGTGGCGGTAAACCGTTGTGAGGTAATGGACTACAAACAATAATGGTAGTGGTAATGATTGCGCATCTATGGGTTAAAACACGGCTGAGAGAAAGGCAAAATGAAGGACCCGCATGGTGTAGTGGTAAACACGTTAGACCTCGGAATGGGTAATAGGGCGTTCGATTTCCACCGCATACACCTGCGGCTCGGAGTTTTGCAAGTACCTTAGGATCATTGTCGTTATACTTTTCATTATAACCTGCCGCGTAAAAAGAATAGGCAGTGAGTAAAAGTGACTACAAAATAATTGTACACGTTGGAAGCACAGTGGTTCGAGATGCCGTTCGGTAACAAATGCGTGTTCCTTGGTTCCACCCCATGCACGGTCAACCAAACATCCCACCCTTCCGATGTCGGCGGATTACTACATGCCATACTGGTCTAAGGAAGCTCACTCCAACCTAAAAGGCCATCGGCTGACACTATGGTGAAGGAGTATAGCGTCCTAGCAACGATTTCTTAGGATTTCAGGAGAAATTAACCCACCCGGAATTCAGAGCAATTAACGAAGAAGACAAAATCTTCAAGTAGGAGCTGGAAAAATAACTAAATCGTGGATCGATGATGGTATTACCTTCACGGATGATTGTGAGACTACTGAATAAAGTGCTGGGATCCACACAATTGTAAAAACCTGTTAAATAAGAAAACGCATGAATTACTACCTCTTTATTGTTTATCGATGTTTAAAAAATGAAATTCATATTTATAATAAACTAACGCTAATACATTTCTAACCCGCTTTATCGTGAATGCTTCAATGTCCACCTTATGTTCTTTTTCTTTACTTTTCAATTATTTTCTACCGTATTTGATTTCATTTATTTAGGCCGTTGATTTATTGTACGACGCAGAACATCTGCACTATTTCTTCACAGACCGAGACGGAACACTGAAAAGTTACGCTTGCAGTTATCCATCAAGCATTCAACCTGCCTACTCAGGTGTTATACAGGTATAATTACGGTTACCAAGCGAAAATCTCGTTTCTTTGAGGAGGCAAGAAATAGAATAGATGTATAACTTCCTCGTTGTTATTTCCTTCATCATTAATGAGGAAGGAAACATCAATAAATCGCACTGCTGGAACTTAAAGACCTGCTGAAGCTAAAGTCTTAGTCCTTTTCTTTTATCTCTGGTCTCAAGCAGTAAAATTTCTTGTATGCTAACTCGCAGTGGCTCACCCAGACCACTCATTCGATAACACTTCGTGAAATTAGTTCATTAGTCGGTTCTTTTCCACTAGAGGCAGTGTAGATGTTGTTTTTCTTGTTGGTTAGCCTCACAAATGCAGCGCCGGGCTTAAAAGAAACATCTATGAAAAGTTTTGGCGATATTTTATTTCATATTCTCGCTTTAAAATGGCGCGTGTAGCGCAATGTTTAGAGGCGCCCTACGATACATATGGGATTGATCCTCGCACCCCGGGCCCAACGAGTGCTGGTGTTCCTTCGTATATGACGATCGATTATCCAAATGGATTTGCGTAAAAGCTTCAGTTAATTATGAGTCTATAAAGTATTCAATGGTGCACCCCTAAGTCTTTTCAACAAATAAGCATGTAGTCGGTTTTGGAATAACACAGGCAAGCCATCCTTAAGTGTCATCTGTTCACATCGTCTTCTGTAGAACCGTTTATAGGTTCTTGCATTTCAAGAACGTCAAAAATGCCTTTTCTCAAGCGAATATATGATATTCTTGTGTTCTTTGGAAAATTTAACCCACTCCGAAGTTCTGGCAGGTTAATGGAACAGACTAAGCTTTAAACTGAAGTTATCGAATGTAGTGAAATCCGAATAACTTGCATAAGGTTCTAGAGTTTAATACTTTCTCTCTATATACATAGATGTAAAAATTAATAATTAAGTTTTTAAGGTAAAAAGTACAAATACAACAGTGAGGTTCAGTTCTTTAACAGTTCTGCTTTTCAGGCTCAATTCGCCCGGCGTTGTGCTCAGACATGCTGCATCCTCACCACGGCGCCGTTGATGCACATTGGTGAGTTTTCCTGGTTGACTTATATCGAAGAATTTCCTCGATTACTGGAATCAAAATGAAATTTTGTAAATCAGGTTTAGTATTACTTTTCTAGGGAAATCTGATTAAGCGTGATAACTTAGTTGTGTGTCGGTAGAGGAAAATTAGGTCAGAAATCTCACTTTTAGTCCTTAATGTCATGACCTTCACAATGCAATACGTCTAATTTAGTCTTGGAAATAAGTTTACGATTGAAAAGGGACGTGCAAACTACAAAATCAAAAACTAATTCCACGAAAATACGCAACGCTTCTAACTACAACGAGTGCATGAAAGCCTCTATAAGACGTTCATTGACGCGCCTTAGTTGAATAAAAACACACCGTTACCAACTGTATTTTTCACGATTATTTCCTTCTGATTTTTAGGATTTCTTTATTTTAAACAGTTTTAGTATGAAAGTAAAGTAAGCAGAATGATCAATGGATCGTCATGGCCTTTGTATTGAAATTAATTTCAATGGTACGAGGGAACCTCCCAAAGGTTTACGGCCTCATCGTGGCTGGCAGATGTTCCTGGGCGTCGGACTGCGTTGTACAGTGGGGATTCATCCCTTGGCAGAGTCTCCCAAGCTGAGAAGGAGTCTGGCGTTTCCATCAGGAAGCCCAGACAAAAGTAACCTAATACTAGGATCCACCACTGTTCTGGTATCAAAGTCGCATGGTGGGAAATTTTCCCCTGATCCACGAGGGCTGCGACTGCCCATGGTGGTGAAGACCTGGGGCAGACTTTGGCCAGGCTGACTTCGGGATTTCAAGGAACCACAATGGCTCAACCAGCAAATCTCCGATAAATGGTGATTGTGCTGGGGCACACACAACTGGTGAGAACGGGTCGATCAAGTATCAAATAAGTAAGGTACGAAGGAAATCGTTTACCAATTGGTGGCGTATTTCACGCTATTAACTGAGTGTATAGGTTTAACGTTTTGTTTTCTGCCTTCTATAATTTTCATGGCAGGTTACTAAGCGAAATACAACCACAACGTTGCTGAGATATTTGCAAAACTCTGGTCCGCAGGTGTGTATGGTGGGGAACGAACGCGCTATTGTCCTTTCCCCGGAAAGGATAACGCGTTCGTTCCCCATCATACACACCTGCGGACCAGAGTTTTGCAAATATCTCAGCAACGTTGTGGTTGAATTTCGCTTAGTACCTTGCCGCGAAATTATAGTAGGCAGAAAATAAGAAGGTAGAACATTGTGATCATAGGATTCGACATCATATTTTTTTATTACAGAGGTGTATTTCAAAAAAAAAACCAAGTAACCTGGATGAGATTTTAAATTTCAAGAAAAAAGGAGAGAGCTGGATACGTTTAGCAGACAGCCTTACCAGATAGATGCAAAAGCCAGTGGACGTGTTTCAGATATTAAATTAACCAAAACGATAGTTTTTTTTGAAAATCGTATCATGCGCTTTTACAGTATTTGTATTTCTTTGCATCTGCATTTAGGACATCAGAAACTATAGAGTTTCGGGTTTTTTTTCCTTTCTCGAGATTTCGTGAGAATTACTTCTTATTAGTGAGTCCTATGGCAACGGTCTGATTTGTATCGATCTTCATTTCACCTATAAACATCTACTAGATTATCAGTCAATCCAATAACAAATCGCCTGCTTTTCTTCCGATGTAGATTACAGAACTATAAGGACGAGTTATCCTATAGAATGCGCAAGCTTAGTTGCATCGGTTTAGGTGTGCTGGACGTGTCGACGATTCCGCCTGGCTACTACTATTATGGAGCATCAGCTGGTCGGGAGTGGTTTGTTGATCCGACGAACAAATTCAAGGACACCAGTATTTCTGAAAAGGATCTAATGTTGCTTGACGAGGTTTGTTGAGTTCGCACTTGTTCTCCGATGCATTTATGGCTATGTGGTATTTTTTACCTCCATTTTCCGTCTGTTTCAAAAGTGGAAAAATACGTTTTGAAAGGTGTGTGATATCTTTAAAAAATGAAAAAATGACGAAAAAAAAAGATAACGAAAAAGTATGCAGGAAGATAACTATCCTGTTCATCTCCTATCTCAGTGGCAACAAGAAATGACCAAGGACGCAGTAGCGTAGTAGTTAGAGGTACTCTGCGCCTGATCAGTTGTCGCGGATTTAGTCTCACCCCTGCAGTTCATTAAGGCCTCCATCTCTCTGAGGTCGAGCAATTGGTAACAGAGTTGTCTGGGAGCATAAAAACGATGAGTTAACGCCATGCTTACTAGATACTTGGTGATGGGAAATACTTATTTAAACTTATTTAAAATATCGATGGTCCGTCGCAAGTCATTTCATTGGCCAGATATGCATTCAATCACTTCAAAGATGCTACGAATCGAGTCGGATGCATAAAGCACTCTTCGGAAAATGATCTCCGTCGAACGCTTCGAACGTTTTTTTTTCAAATAAACTGTAGGAAAATTGAACTAGACTTAATAGTGGTGCGACGTCGCTTCTCTGGAATAAAAGAATATTAAATGAAATCTCTCAGCATCCTTCCTTTTTTATTTCACTGATTATAGTGAATTTTGTTATCGACCTAACCGTCGATTTATTGTCAGGTTTTCCAAAAGATCTCTCTGCTTCTTGAACGCCAAGAATTTCGGGTTTTCACATGGGTCGGCTCTGGATTGCAAAAACATTACGGACACCTCACCATTGCTCATCAGGATATTTATGGTTCAGTAAGTTCATTTGCTCCACTGCATTTTTTTTTGTTTATTGTGCAGTTGTTTTTTGTGTTAATTGTTTCTAACAAAGGCAGAACGTTCAACCGTTGGCGGTGTAGATAAATGGGTTTTTTCTTTTTTTTTCAACTTCCACTGTAATGAATCCACACGCTGACAAATCTTGCTGATCTAACTTTGGACTGTGAGGGAATCATTGGTGTTTTGTAACTCTTGATATGTTTCGTAAAATTTGTATAGAAATAGACATATCGTGCTTTTCAGACCACAGGCAAACATCCATTAGTGTCGAGAGGTCATACCAAAGTCCTTAATGACAACTTCCTTGAAACATTTTTCTTCATTCACTTCAGAGTTCTCTTCCTCGGGATCATTTCCACATTGGAATAACCTGAGAATAATCGCTTTTAAAACTGTGGTGGAATTCTCAACTTTTGAAAATTTCTCACTCAATCACGAAATACCTATGCGGCGCACCTCGAGCGTGCTCAGAAAACTCTTGGATATCTTGGATTTTCATTCCCTTCAATTTAGTCGCGTGTAGCGCATTGGTCGGAATAGCCCTGCAACACACACGTGAAATCGATCCCCGCTCCCACGGCCCACCAAGCCTTCCATCCCTACGGGGTCGGTAAATAGGTACCAGACTTGTCTGCGAGGATAGCAGCACTGGCTCGATACATCGGTTGGCCACTGCGAGTCAATGTAAAGGCCAGATATGCATTCAATCACCTCCGAACGATGCTTAACGAAGTCGAATGCATGGCGCATCCCTCAGGGATTGGTCAACACCGAGAGCTCTATCCTTTATCTTTTTATCAATTAGGCATGTAGTTATTCGCTATCTATTAAACTTTCGAGTTTGAGCTCCTCTTTGTCGATGGATTGCGCAGACGACTGATGTTGCCCAAATTTCCCAGTAATTCCCACGACCGATTTTCTATTAACCTCGGCATTGATCAAGTAGTTCTTCGTATTTTTGTTGAGCAAACGCGAGGTGTTACTATTCTTTATTCACGAATAACCTGACGTTTCGGCAGATTTCGCCTTTCTCAGAGCCTGGAAAGGGCAAGTTGATAGCAATCTACTCGGCCAGACGCCTCCATAACCAAACAAAGAAACTCTAAGCCAAGATTTCAATCACATAACACATTTGCACACTCACCGCTTTCTATGAGGTTTCCACTAAGTATGTCACGTAGAGACCAACCGCACAGAAATCACATGGAAGCGTAATATGCCTCTCCCATCAGAATAGCAGTCTTGTATACTGCCCTATATCTCGCGTGATAATGAGGCATTCTTCCCTGCGGTTCATTTTCGGATTTCTGGAGTTAATCGAGAATGCCTCGAGAGTTTTAGCTTATTCGTGAATAAAGAATAACAACACCTCGCGTTTGCTCAACAAAAATACGAAGAATTACTTTCCCAGTAATGCCGTTAAGACTGATGCCGACGTTTCGGCTGGTTTTCATCATAGCTCGGTGGATTCCAGTGGTATCTGCCGTATTCTACAACAAAATTTTTGTACCGACACTTCCTTTATCAATAAATAGGCTGATGGTCTTTTGTGTGGTTTTGAATGAACTTCCGAGCTTCTTGCAATGGCTTCAGCAGATTCCTCTTCCGCGTGACGCGCCATGTCTTGATCGTTTGAAAGGACTTTCATAGCCATGAAGACAAGAGCTAGAGATATTCAACTACTAAAGTCGCCAAAAACATAGATCTTAAGGATAAAATAAAGTGAAAGCATTCCACACAATGCTGGTGAGACGTGTCTTCATTTCTGGGGCAGCCCTGTCAGCCAAACGGTTGAACCCATAAATAGTTCCAACCTGCTTTCCTAACTCCTATTTATATTGTTAAGTTGGCAAGAATTTTTCATAGTACTGATTTGATGTGTTTTTGATTGCTTATAAATGTAGAGTAATAAATGATAAAGGTTGAATCAAATTGTGAACTGAAGGACACTAGTAGTGGCATGTGGAACTAATTACAACATGATATGAAGAAAGAGATGAATAGGCTGGAAGAGTATTAGAGAATGAAGGTGGCGAAGTATGGACAGTAACGAAGTTATGAAAACTGGATTAAAAAGAAGGTGCTACGGATTTGCTGGTTGGAAATCTTGTTCGCATCAATAAGACTCGAACTATCATAGTTACAGTACTTTAACCTCTATTTACTGCCTGGTCCTTCTTCATGGCACAATACCATGTGAAGTACAACTATGAGAATGCTAAGATATGAGCAAAACGAGAGCCCTCAGCAGGTATCGAACCCGTGATTAACCTTTCCGGGTGCTTACGTGTTATTCACAACACCGACCAAGACCCTTACTTTTTTTTCTCGGCTAATTTTTCACGTCTACGGTGCTATCAGCAATCACCTCTCAACAGGAATGATATGGGTGCAAAATCGATATTGAACCCAGTTAGGCCGAAGCTGTAGTCGAAAGCACAATGTGGGTCACAATTATTCTTTTTGACAGGTGATTGCTGATGGCAACAGTAGGGTAAAAACATGGCTGACAGAAAGCTAAAGTAACGGCCTCGGCTGGTGCGGTAGATAGCACGTGACCCTCGGATAAGGTAATTGCTGGTTCGAGGTCCATCTGAGGTCACAAGTTTTGATGATGTCTCAACATCGTCACAGTCATCATCGTTACAGTCTTTCAATGGATAACTTGTTTCCTTCATAGCCTTATTTGTGGGTGGATTACAGGTGAAAAAAGAGCTGAGCGATGAGCTGTTCGACGAAGTCAACCGTATAGTGGTGATGATCGATCCGGAGAATAACGTACTGGATGTGAAAACCTCTAATTTGGACACCAAGATTTATTTGAAGGTGAGTTTAGAAGCTTAGGATCCTTGTACTAATTTTACACTTTTTTAAATCTGAAAGCTGAAATTGGCAATACAAATGATGCAATGTGTTCGTGAAGTGCTACACGCTGTTCGTTTCCTTTCTTTTCTTTCATTTTTTTTCGTCTTTCCCAACAGCTCCTTCTGTTTCCTTCTTTTTCCTCTTTTTCGATTATTTATTCACGTGTTTTTTTTCCTGTTGCTTTGTTTTAAACGTGCAACAACAGTTCTCTTTTTTTTCCAGAGTAAAGGACCCGATGAGCACTTCAATAAAGGTAGCGGAATAAGGTTGTTATGTGAAAAGATGAAATGCGATTTAAAGGTATTGTGTTCTTGGGTTTCCGGAAATTTAAAATCTGACTTTTTTAAAATTTTCTATAGCAAATTCTTACTGCCATATTATCTATCGTTCGTTTAATTCCTTTTTTGATGGACTCTCCTTTCCAGCGTTAGTTTTCTTTGATGGTTTGCTCAAAAGCAAAACTATTATTAACTTAATAACTTTAATATGCTTTAGAAGCACTTGTAGAGCAGTGGCTAAAGTGGATTGGAATACAAACGTGGTCATTTGTTTGATTCTCGTCTCGGACAAGCGAAACCTTCTATTCTTCTGCGGTCGTATACTATAAATTGATACGTTACTTGTTTGGGAGGATAAAAACACTGGTTGAGTTTATCGGTAGATCACCAAATGCCATAGTCCAGATAAACATTTAATTACCTTTATAATACTACGATCGGAGTGAAAGCGCGTTGCATCCTTTAGAGACGAGTCAGCACAGAACTATTTTTTTCTTAAGCACTATACTATTTTTTCATGTATTTGAGAGTTTTTAAATTTGTACTGGGAGGTCCATGGATGTCCGTCATCATCAGCATGGTGCTTGTTCGACTCCGCTTCAGACCAACCAAGCCTCTCATCCTTTTGGGCTCTGAAAATTGGTGCCGGACTGTCTGGCCATCTAACGTCCACGACTTCAGTGAGAATTCCTCGACCAGCATCCTACGAGATTCAAGGTGAAATGAAAATCCTCGAGCAGCAGCTGAAGCCACACGTAAAGTTGGAAGATCGTCGTGGAGAATGGATGAGAGGAAACGAATTGAATGTAAGAAGTGCTGGTATCCGCACAGTAGACGTGAAGACGGATCAAATAAAATAGAAAAAAAATAAAATACAAGTGCAAATTCGTTGTATTACAAGTAATGAAGCAGTTTCTTCGTCTTCTATTTCACTAAAGAGTAGCGTCACATCTGATTTTTTGTACTAGAAAGTTTTTTCTGTACAAGAAGACGATACTGTAGCGTTGTTTTTTAACAATTAAGTACTTTTATTGTGTTGATTCAGGAGGGAAATATCTTGGTGTGTGGTGATTCCGTGACAGATCTACCGATGTTACAAGAATGTCTGACACGAAATCCTTCCGGGGTCTACACGATATGGGTCACTACCGATTCCATCCTTCAGCAGAAGGTGAAATGCCATTTTCTAGTTTATTAATCTTTTTTTCTACTAGACCAAAATGCATTGTAGATGTTTATAATCGAGAAACCAATGCAGATGTAGGTTTCGCTCATCGAAAAAAGCGCAATAATCTTTTACGAAAGAGAAGCTTTTTGTTGTTGGATAATTTTTTATTAATTATTAATAAGCTTTGAGGTTACCGTTTCAAGCATCTACGTGGATATTTTTCCGGGCTTTACATTTGTTTCCATTGCAATCTGACTCCTATCCATAACACCCGCGCGCCGTTTACCCTGGCTGACCCAGTGGAATACGGGCAATTTTTCAACGACAGTGGTCATTCTGGTTTTTTTTACAATAAAAGAATAATTTTTCAATAAGTTGACCGTTTGCGAGTTTGCGTACATGACAAAATTGTACAAGAGAAGTTGCTCTATCTTTGTATGGGTAAGGTGGCACGTATGCTATCACTCATTAATTACTATGCTCGACTATGCAAATATATTTCTGTCATTCATACTCCTACAACGATAGAGTGAAGTCCCTGAACGATAAAATAACACCAAAACGTACCGGGCTTGGTACCAGACTGTGTCTGGGAGGACAGCAGCACTAACTCGATACATCGGTAGGCCACCGCCAGTGATTTTAAAGGCCAGTTATTCATTCAACCACCTCCAAACGGTGCTTAATGAAGTCGAATGCATGACGCATCGCTCAGGGATTGAACAACGCCAAGAGCCTTATGATTTTAGCCTTTTAACGCCCGAGCAGTGCTCCCACTCCACTGTACTCGACTAGATGCTGCGACGAACACCCATATAGCGACAACTACAAACCTGGAAACATGGACTCGGATTAACACGGCTCCGAGAAAGGCGAAGGCGCCGAAACACTAGCCGGATTAAAGTTTCCGTGCCAAACTCTTGTTAGTGCAATCCTACAAAAAATTACTAGTTACTACTTTAAATTTCACTGTCCTTAAATTGTAATATTTCAGTAGTTTATTTTATTCATACATTTAAGGCTCATTTTTCATTTTATCCGAATTTTTTAACGCCTTTCTCAAAGTAGTAAGTCTATTTGATGACTCTTTTCGAGAAGACCCTCTATGTTGTGCCTAATTTTAACTGTTCTCTTCCACTTTTCTTTTACAACTATTCCACTTTGTACTGAAGTGGCTGGACTGCAAAGGAGTAAGGGGTTACAGCGTACATGCAGAAAGCACGAGTTGTTTACAGTGTTCTGTTATGAAAAGGATTTCAAGGCCTGCGCTATATTACTTAGCACCTAGAAACAAGTACTAACAGAAGCCAACCAGTAAACCATCGAAATTTGCTGTTTCTTTCATAATTTCGCTAAAGGACTATTGCTACCTGATTACATTACTATTATTGTTTTGATAACTTTGGAAAATTAACGGGTGATTTATAATTTTCCATTGAGGCAACTGACTGCATTAGTTACTTGAATACTTGTTACTTGAATGGCCCGTCCTCACTGGATCTGCGGCCCGCAGCACAATCTCCATTTTTCGGAGATTTGCTGGTTGAGCCATTGTGGTTCCCTGGAATCCCGAGATCAGTCCAGCCAAAGTCTGCCCCAGGTTGACACCACCACGGGCAGTCGCCGCCCTCGTGGATCAGAGGGAGATTTGTCACCTTGGGACTAGTTTGATACCAGAACGGCGGTGGATCCTGGTATTGGTTTACTCTTGGCTAGGCTTCCTGGCCGAAATCCAGCGCTGTACATCGCAGTCCGACACTGGAGCACTTCCCAGATACGATGAGGCGGTAAACCGTTGTGAGAACTGACTTTATTATCAGTTAGAACATAATTTCCAATAATTTCCAATGGTCTTTAGTTCATTGTGCGTTTTTAAGATTGCGTTATGGCTTTTCTGCTTCCACACAGCAAATTTTGCAATCTAGAACCCATAGTTATGAACACTTTGTAATCTTTGTTCATTTACTAAACTTCAGTGAGGTGAAAAAGATAGCTGAATAAGTGGAGAAATTGACGAACTTGTTGAACAAGCTCCAACTTACGTATTCGATGTATAATTTCTATAATTGTCTCTAAGGTCGCGTGTGTCGCATTGGTCGGAGGCGCCCTGCAACACACACGTGAAATCGATTCCCACTCCCATGGCCCACCAAGCCTTCCATCCCTCCGGGGTCGGCAAATTGGTAGCAGACTTGTCTGAGAGGATAGCACCACTAGCTCGATACATCGATAGGCCACCGCGAGTCATTTTAAAGGCCAAATATGCATTCGATCACCGCCAAACGATACTTAATGAAGTCGAATGCACGGCGCATCCCTCAGGGATTGATCAAAGCCGAGAGTTTTACCCTTTTTGTTGCTCTTTTGATTATTCACTGCCAGTTTTTATTTGTTTTCTTCAGGTACGAGATCTTTGTGGAGCATATAAAAACACGAACATCGCGTTCGTCTCCTGCCCTGAGGTGCTCCTGGGTGCGATGGCACAGGCGACAATTCGTGAGATCAGCATTGTTCGACGTGACTAACCTCCTAGGTCACCATTAAGTCTTCGTTTTTGTTGTAACGCTGAAAAGTTTCTGAACCTCTATTTTCTAGCAGCCAAATATGATAATATAGTAGGAAAAACTGCACCGTTAAGAGTGGTGTGGTCACGACAAGGCCCACTAATTACCCTAACTCACAGATGACTACCGTATATATTACAGTGCTTTTGTAGCCTCAGAAAACGTTTGCCCAAAAACACTAATATTATGATGAAGTATGAAATGCTGAGATATTTGCAAAACTCCGGACCACAGGTGTATGCAGTGGAGAACGAACACGCGCTGCTCCCCGGTAAGGGCAACA